CTAATTTGAGCTAGATCAATAGTATAAATTAGGACAGAAACCAAAAGCATGTTTTTATAAAGAAATGAATGAAGAGTGAATTCAAGCACTGCAAATATTTCAAAAAATGATATATTAATGCTGTAATGATATTATTACCAATTAAATATATGATTCGCAATAATTTTTAACCAGTTTTTCTATTGAAAGATATTGGTTTTGTATGTAAAATAATTATATAATTAAGTAAATAATATAAACCCCTTTAACTTTATTTTGATTACCAAAAATAAAACTTAAATTTGATTATAAAAATATTTTGCTTGTGGTAACGCATATCTTAATTAATTTATTGCAATCAATAATTTTTAAGTAATTGTAAAGAATTTTCAATGATTAAAAGTACTCATTACAATAGCTGTAAATTATTTGTAAGTATAATTTTTAAATTGTTGTATATTCTACCTAAGTACAGATATCAAAGAAATACTAAAGTTTTTTTTTAAGTTTGGGAATGTGTATGAAACATTACATAATAAAAAAATTACTTCGATAGCAAAAAATTAGTTTTAAGTTGGAACCAGAATTAAATTTTCGCACAGGTTTTCTTTTAAAAACTTATATTTAGTCATAATAAACAAGAACTACAAAAAATAAAAGTGAGAATACATGTTATTTTGTGTAAGTGTGATTATAAACTACTCTGCTTGAAAAATGATAAATAATCAAATCTTTTCTTTCCTGTTCCATAATTTGAAATTTTAACAAATACTTTAAATTGGCAAAATGAAATTGAAACACTTCTTCAGGTATAAATAAAAACAAATTGCAAGGTGTTTCAGGATAATTACCCAAACTTTAAATTCCTCACAAGAATTCAGATATGCATAGCAACCTGTGCACGGTGCGCCTTAACTAAAATTAAATTAAATGCTCTTACACCTTGAAAATTAGAAGAGATTCTGAATTTACAATGTTCTTTGATAATAAATATCGAAAAATTAAAATAATCTGTAAAGAGATTTAAAAAAAAATCCACTTTGAACATTTTTGCTCACGAAGTACGATATTTCAAAAATGTTAGCATCATTTTATACTTATAAATGTAAGAAAAAAATGACATATTTGTACTAAATATTTATAATAACCGTTTATAATAAAGTTTATAATTATTAAAAGTTTTTTAATTGCTAATTATAGTCAATGAACCACTACTTAAAAAACAAAAGTAATAAAAACTTAAATCGACTTTAGCGACACAAGCATTGTGAAATTAGCACAAGCACTGTGACTTTAAAAATGGCAGCTCTCATTCGTGTGTGTACACGAAGTAGAAAAGCAATTGAACCAGGATAAAAAACAAAACTTAATATCACAGCTCATTCTGTCGACGATTATTTTGATTTTAAGGAATTTCCTTTCGTTTGTATAAAAGGCGATGAAGTCTCGGATGCTCCTGCGCTTGGAGTTTACTGCAAAGATGTTCTTGCTTTTGTTCAGTATGTGAAAAATAAACGAGATGTACTGGATGTTCACTTAAAAATGGGTATTGATGGAGGAGGTAGATTGTTAAAAATATGTCTTTCTGTACAATCAAATGAGTTGGACTTCGAGTGCAGCGGTAAGGGATAGCTGCAAGGAAATTTAAGGATTCTGGAGTTAAACGACTATTCATTCTAGTAGCCATTTCGATTGCACAAGAAAATTATAAGAATGTGGATCAACTCATTTCAACGTTGAATATAAGTCGTTTCCACGGCACAATTGCAACCGATTTGAGGTTAGCGCATGTCTTAGCAGGTATAATGTCGCACAGCAGCGCATATCCATGCACTTATTGTTATGCCAAGAAAGATGAGCTAAGCAGCTGTGGTGGATTGAGATCCTCCGAAAATGTTTCATCGTATTATACAAGTTGGCTGACTGAAGGAAAAGGTTCAAAAAACAAAGCGAAAGATTATTTCAATTGCATTCATCCACCTCTAATTGCAACTGTTGGAGGAAAAACATTCCTAGACATTATTCCACCGGCAGAATTACACCTTATGCTTGGTGTTGTTAACACTGTTTTCACGCATATGTTGAAAGAATGTGAAAATGAATCGCTGACATGGACAAAAGCTTGTCACGTTCAGCATGAAATCAGACGAGGATGTTCTGGGTTTAAAGAAAATGCATGCAAAACACTTTTGGATAAAGTGTTTTGCATGCCTGCCAGTTTAAAAATCTAGCAATACTGAAGTACGTTAAAGTATTTGACGACTTCAAAAAAGTGGTTTCTGCTTGCTTCGGAAATAATCTTGACCAAAACTACAAAGCATGTATAGAAGCTTTCAAAAAGAGCTACATGGACTTAGGTGTCAGCGTTACACCAAAGTTTCATGCAGTTTTTTTTCACATTGAACAGTTCTGTGACAAAAACGGTGAAGGATTAGCATTTTTTTGGGAGCAGGCGATGGAGTCCGTACATTTTGATTTCTTAAAGTCTTCCTGGGAAATTAATAAGGTTGCTGCAGATCACCCCGGTTATTCTAAACACCTTTCGAGCGCTGTTTGTAGATACAATGCTTCACATGTTTAAATTGATGTAATTATAATTAAATTATGTTACATTTTCATATTTTATCAGCAGTAAAATGTTTAAATAATAAAAGTTTAATAGAATTACAACTGAAAAATAATTATTATATCATTTCTTTCCTTTCTATTGATATAAAACAACGCCAGATATTTCAAAATCGTGCGCAAAAATGTTCAAAGTGGATTTTTTTAAAAATCTCCCCACAGATGATCTTGATTTTTTGATTTTTAATATCTGTTAACATTGTAAATTCAAAATCTCTTCAAATTTTCTAGGTGTAAGAGCATTTTATTTAACTTTGGTTAAGGCGCACCGTGTGTGTTCAGAATCGTCTTCGTTAGCAGCCACGGAATGTTGATCACAAAAGCATCAGAGGAAACAGATCTATATTGCGGCAGTCATTTGAGCTGCCATCGCCCACAAAGGACATTCATAACATTCCGTTCGTGGTTTGAAGGATTCATGAACATTTGAATTAGGTACTTGGTCATCAATGTATTAGGTGCGGTGGACCGTAGCCACCACGTTCTCCTGATTTAAACAACATGGATTTCTGTCTTTAGAGTGCACTGAAAAGTGCTGATTACGCAACACCTGGGAATTCCGAAAGAACCATCTGTGCTGCAATACCCAACAAAATCCAGGAGTATTTGAGCGAATCCGCCAATCCACGAGCTTCGATGATTCAGGGAATAGAGCATTCGTCTTCCAATGACGTGAACCAGGCTCGAATCCCTGCGATGACTGGCCGCATCCGTCTTGCACCAACCACAGTGCTGACGTGAAATATCCTCAGTGGAAGACGGATCCTGGATTAGAGTCTCTATACCGTCAGGATAACCGTGGAAGGTTCTCTTGGTCTTGCTCTCCATGTAACGCAATTGAGGGTTAGTTCTATCAAAAAGTCCTCCACGAAGGTAAATTTCTCCCAATATTTGATCCAGGAGTTCCCTTGTGTACTGTATTGGGTTCAAATTTACAAGGCTACTGAGTTGAACACCAGTAGTCGTAAACTTAAAAATTAGGTCAGTTGTTCAACGACTGTATTAAAATATTAAATAAAATCCATGGCCCGACGGTGTGACACATGTATCGCTAGCACTGGTGCAAGCTTTGAACATTTTTGGGACATTTTCCCATATTATCTACCCTAGCATATGCAATATCTTTGCCCAGTAAATATTTCAGATTATCTCAATCTCTGTCATACTACTTTTCCATGATGCTTCCGAGACATGGGTTGCTATGTAATTCTGAGTCCTTGTGATGTCCCCTACATCATCTAAAATTTGTCCGAATAATTCTGAGACACCCTGTATTCACACTCTGTTTAGTTAAATTTACTTTTAACTACACTCTATTACAAAAACATTAACGCACCAAGAACGAACTAAGACGCGCAAAATCGACGCTCGATCAGGCTAGAATGATGCCGACCGGGGACGTATAGTTTTTAACGACGAATCTCGCTTCCAACTGTGTCCTGACGATCATCAAAGACGTGTTTGGAGACGCACAGGACAGAGGGGGGATCCTGCTTTCACTATTGCACGCCACAACAGCCCTCAACAAGGCATTATGGTCTGGGGTGCCATTTCCTTTGACAGCCGGACCCCCTTGGTCGTCATTAGAGGTACACTTACTGCACAGCGGTACGTCGACGACATCCTAAGACCTGTTTTGCTTCCGTTCCTTTTGCAGTGCCCTGGGCTGGTTTTTCAGCGGGCAATGCCAAAGGCAATGTTGCTGTCTGCAAGCAGGCAATGTTGCTGTCTGCAAACAGGCAATGTTGCTGTCTGCAAGCTTGTCAAACTCTTCCTTGGCCTGCCAGATCACCAGATCTCTCTCCCATCGAACATATTTGGGATATGATGGGAAGGCGATTGCATCTGGCACGGAATGTTGATGACCTCGTTCGACAATTGGATCGAATTTGGCCGGAAATACCACAAGAGACCATCCGGGAGCTTTATCGGTCTATGTCACTCCGTGTGGCAGCTTGCATCCAGGCTAGAGGCGGGTCAACACCTTATTGAACTTGTTACTGTAACTCTGCAATAAATTATTCAATTGTTCTGAAATTTTAATCATTTACTATTCTGTACATTGTCTTCCTATCCACCAATTTTCGTTTCAACCGGACAATTCCTTCTTGGTGTGTCGATTTTTTTGTTATAGAGTGTATTTAAAGCATCATATAACATTTCTGTTATAAATATTTGCTCTCATGGTAAAGGATCCTATTCCTATTCCTTTCAAATAATTAAAATACTAAAATGTACCATTTTATACAATTTAACTGTAGCTTTTATAATAATTTGATGCATTGATAACAAATAAGCTACTTTGACATCATTTTCTGTATCACTGAGAATAACAGTAGCGAATTGTTTATAAAAAATCTTTGTATTTTCTGTCCAATATATATTTCTGTGTAAACTTACATGCAAACTCTGTGTTCTAAATTTTATTTATTTTGCAGCATAAAATACAGCGCAATGTTTGCTTAAGTGTGCTTTATTGTTATTTTGTGCATTTCGTTACTGAAATTTTAAAAGAAAACATGTGTTTTATTATTGTACTAAATGCTATCATTACATACTTTTTTACCGGTTTAAAGAAGTTGATTTATAAAAGGTCGAGAATCAGTGCTCGCAAAAAGTTATTTTTAACTTAAATAGCATTCATAAAGTCAAGCTCTTCGAAACAACTCATTTAATAATCTTAAAGCATTAAGATCGGCTCATTAAACATCTTTATTGGTTTATAAAATTAACTAATTTATGGAGGAAGAATTTAATGCTTTTAATAACACCTTTTAGTTCAATAAAATATTTTCGCTACAAACTGCAGTTAGTGTCCTGTTGTCAAAACCTTCGGTTTTATTTGCTTACTTAAATTGGCTCTAATTTTTACATAATTCTTTCCTTATTTTCTAATATATAATAATAATTACGATAAAAAAATTTTATAATAAAAAACGTTAGTAAACAAAATTTTAAGAAAATATTGGGAACTACAAACTCAGGTTTCTTAAAAAAGCATATAAAATTGAGATTTTTAAATATTTAAAACTTAAATAATTTAATAGTGATTTATATCAGAAAAGTTTTTAATACTATGTTTCAATTCAACGATTCAAATGTCTTAAATATTATAATTGTTGCATCAAAAATCTAATGAAACCTCTTTTTTTGTTGAAAGAATTAAGTTGAAACCGACAAATTCTACTTTTTATGCATCGATGTACCATTGAACTAATATTCTACTGTAAAAGTTATGGAAATTAAATAAAAACCATACTTAAATTTAAAAAAAGTTAATTTTTTTTGAAAAAGTAAATAATAAGTGTTAGTTTTAGGAAGAGTAAAATATATTGCTGGAATTTTTTTTATTAATCTCAAATATCAAATATTTATTATTGAAAATGTCGTATACTATAAAATCAAAGTACGGTTTAAAATACTGGCACTTAGGGTGCATTATCAGTAAAAAAACATTTTCCCGTAAAATTCATATTTAACGTAAAATATTATATCGTAATATTTATTTAAATAGAGTGATTTAATGATTTTATTGTAATTAATACTGTAAAAATTATTGCATATTGGATCATTATCATTATCCTGTAATTTATTAATGCATTATGTCACTTATAAAACCTAAGAGAAATTAATGTTCAAAAATAATGAATTTATAATTTTGTGTCTAAAAATTATTCCTGTGATAATGCTGTCTTTTCAGAATCGGCTTCCATAAAGGGTCCCTAGGCTTCAATGGGTTTAGTACTCATTTAAATTATGTTTCTGTTTTACAGCTAGAAGCATTTCTGAAGAATTTTCTTCATCCAGTGATCTTAAAAGTAAAGATTATGAAGAATGTTGCCTGAAAGACAAAGAAGAAGGTAGGTATATGTGTTCTTTTTAACTTAGAATAAACTTTTTATCTAATAATCGGATTTTTATGAGCGAAAGCGATCTTTGAAAATGTAACTTTTGCTATTAATTAATGCAGATGATATTATAAATTACGAAAACAGACAAAGGTGTTTAGTATCTTTTTTATTAATTGTTTATGTTAAAGAAAAATGGATATTTTATTCATATTTAAAAAAGAAAGATCTGCATTTAACAGAGGTGATTACGACACAAAACAAATGAAAAAAAATAGAAAATTTTAAGCGCAAAAACTCGATAGCAAAGATATTAATTTAAATACTATTCATATTTAAATATAACTTTTTGAACAAAGATTTATAGTTAAATTACCTACCAATGAGAGATATCACACCTTTATTGTAACTTGTTTAAGAAAAAAACTTAGTTCTTAGAAGAACCGCGATATTAAATTTTAAAATCACGCGAATATGAATCGCGATATTGGATTTTAAGAATGCGAAAATACAAATCGCGATATTGGATTTTCAAATCATGTAAATACGAATCGTGACATTGGATTTTAAACTCACGTGTAAATAAAAATTACTATATTTTATTTTTAAATCACGTGAATACGATGTACAATAAGTAACTTTTAAATCAGGCAAAAATGAAAATCAATGCTTGATATTAAAATCGCGAGAATATGAATCCCGATATTAGTGGATTCCGACGTAGTTTCAAATATTAAAAACGGTGAAAATCCGACAAATCAAATTGGTGTATCACGTTTATAAAAAAGTTTTGATAACGTGATTTAGAGAAGGTTTCAAGGTTTAAATTTTAGGTGAAATTTTTGTTGGATTATTAGTTTTGATTCGCAGAAGTCCGCCAATCTATAATCTTGAGATATGTGGAGGTACACGAGAAAATGACACGCCTTGCTCATAGTTTCTAGACCTGAGGGATGATATAAAAAACCCGGAATTTCGGGGGACTATCGGGTCATCGTTATAACAGAGGTTCACTCTAAATAATACAAACATCATGTTATATAAATAATGTTAATATGTAAATATTGTAAATATATGATATTTTATTTTCCCTATTTTCAAATCCTGTAAATAATTTTGTACATATCTTTTCAATTTATTGTATTTTTCATGCTAATGATTCTAGAGACCTTCCCAGTAAATAACATTATAGATAGCTAACCTATGTTAGTAAACTGCTAATACTTTCCCCTGAACTAAAGCCACTAGTCTCAATTGCCCTAGGGCCAGAAGTCAGAGGAAGAAGTGAGGTGCCCGCATTCGCGGGCAGGTACTTCGGCCAAACTCATATCCAAGTCCAAGGCCAAGGGGTACACCCTGAATACATTCACCCCTGATAAGAAATTTTTTTTTTGCTTTTATGCATAATAAAAAGAAAATTAATATCTTACCACTTTTAATGGTCTGAAAAATACCTAGATAGGATCCAAAATTCAAAAAAAAAAAAAAAAAAAAAAAAAAAAAAAAAAAAAAAAAAAAAAAAAAAAATTCGAAATATCTTCTGTTGGATAAAAATTGAAACAGAATTTACATATGGTATTTTTCAGTAATATTTGTTTTCTATCTCTTAATTATATTATTCTCTTTTATTAGTACTCCTTTTGATCTTTAATATTAATCAGGATTACATATTTAACGACAAAAGCTTAGTTCCTTTCTCATATTATAAAGTACTTGCATGATATTAACTTATTATATTACATTTTATCATAAACACATCAGTGCACCGGTGGCGCAGTCCCTATTGGACAGATGGGAGCAGTGAGTTCGATCCTGGCAGCAGACAAAACAAAACGCAGCAAACAATTCGTTAAATTTGTCGTGGCCGAAAGACATCTCTTTGGATGAGGTGTGGAAATTAACAGATAGGGGTACTAGCTCAGGCGCTGCCCACATCGACTGACCAGGGTCAAAATTGCGTGGATTTCCACCCATGGTTGTTAAAAGATCGAGCCTTAAAAAGGGGACTATGATTGGCCATGTTTGGGTGATGTGACAAATACTATTAGTTACGGTATTATAATTATTAAAAATTAACACTTTAGATTTAATTTGCGTTCACTCAGCGTAGGATATTAAATAAAAGAGCAAGAAAAGAATTAATTTTCACACAATAGCTATATAATCTCTTTTGCAAACGAGCTATATAATCACAATAGCTATATAATCTTTTTTGCATATATAACGAGTTTTAACAGACAAAAACTGAATAAAAAATAAATACAAGTAGTCCGAGAACAAAGTTATAAAGGTGTTGCTTCTGTTGTTGTTTCTAATGACACTTGGATATGCCAGGCTCGCCAGCCATTGGCCTTTAGGTAAATTAAGCAAATTAGGTCAGGAAGGTGCGCCTTTCGTTTAACAAAAGAACACCAAAGGGGTGAAGGTACGTTTTAGCTCAAAATCATACGGATAGATGGCAGTACCACTCATTGGTGAGGTCACTTTCTCAATTTACAGATCTGAAAGGAACGGAAATTTTCTCCAGATCCCTGTACCAATGGCACTGCTCAGTGATCAACCACAGGACATTTAATTCCACCAATTTTCCGAGCACGTATATTGCTCAAATGGTAACCGAGCAAACTGATCAAATTTAAATTTTATCTCAATAGAATCGAAAATTAAATTTGTGTAGAAAGACTTATGTTAACACAATAAGCAAAGTAACAACAGTAAAACTGCAAGGAAATCAGACCCCTCATAATTAACATTATATGATCTTGGATAAGACAATTTTTTTTCCCTTTAAGATAATTGTTGACAGTGAAATAATATTACAACCGTTTTTTTTAAACCTTATTATAAAAAAAGATAATGGATTTAAAAATGTATACATTAAGCATTACTACCGTAAGTACAACTTGTGATACATGAAAATAAATTAAAGGTTTAGTCAAGATTAATGAAGATGAATATCTACTCCAGAAATATATTTTTACCAAATGCGAATAAATTAAGTTTTATCCATATTCATAACCCAGCATTCATGACATATTTAATAGTTTAGATAGTTACGGTTAAGAAACAACCAAAAAATGTAGAAGTAAAAGTCCTCACTTGCATAGATCACAAGAGCCGACACACATGCTGTTCTACGAATTGAGGGGAGCAACATTCCTGTCCACTTGCAAAAGGGAAAGTGTAAAAAATACCAAATTAACTCAAGGAATTACAAATTTTGAGATCTAAAAATAGTGAGTGACCTAATGTCACACCCTTATTATTTTACAGTACGTGCAGAAATTATCAAAAATAGTGCTTCATCGTTAACTGACATTAATTTTTATAGTGGAATGGAAAATACTTTGATAAAGACTAATGTAAATGTTTTTTTCTAACAGAAACTTTTAAAGTTTATGATGGAAATGGAGGCGTTAAAAATAGAATGTTTAGGACAATCACAATGCCGAGAAATTCAACGAAAGAAGATGTAATTGTAAGTATTAATTTTCTAAAAGTTTTTTTTGACAAATTAACAAATTTAATTGTAGGAAATTAGTTTTAGATTCAGAAAAACAAAAAAGTAATTCATTTTGTCTGAGTTTCAAAAAATTGTAGAATTCTGTTCAGATGCAACTATGCAAACAATAATTATAATATATAGAAGGGCTAGAGTTAAGTCTACTGCAGGGAGCATGTACCCAATAATTTTGAAAATTGGATTGCTCCTTCAATAATTTTATTCTTTTTATGCACTTCTCTCAAAAACATCAGTATTGGTTTTTATTTAAATCTTATAGTGCCCACTAGGCATAATTTGAAATCAGTACAAGGAAATGAAATTCTGGTAAGATTACCGTACTTTATGGCAATGAAATTTATGGTAAAAATTCCATTATTCTAAATAAAAGAACCAAAATATGCAGTATTTAAATCATTCATTTAGTAATTTTTCCGTTTATTACAGTTTACCAGACATTTTGGTTTTCAAAATTATAGTTCTTATTACCACACACTTAGTAAAAAATACAAAACTGAAAAGTAACTGAATTAATGGTTTTATGCCATATCTGAATTAATGGTTTTATGCCATATTTGCCATATTTATGCCATATTTGGACATGATAAAATTACCAAATTTTATCACACATTATAAAATTATATTTTATTGTTAATTTTACCAAAATAGTTAAAAAATGCTTTGGTAAGAATGACCAAGCCTTTTGGTGTTGCCATAGATACACGATAGATTGAATCATATTCTGGCAGTTATGACCATAGTGTTCTTCTCATTACAACACTTTCATTCTTAGAAAAATTTATTCAAAGCTTAACGATAATGCAAATGTGCTCCACCCTAATAAAATGTAAACGTAATGATGTGTCCGTTGAAGTTGAACCATAGTATTATGTATCAATGTTTCAGAACTTCGACATGTTGCTTAACGTATTACCATAGGTTGCAGCATATTTTGAATGATGGTTTAACCTGCTCCGAAGTTTCTGACAGTGTAATCTTGGTTTTCAATAGGATAGGTTTTATATAGATGGCCAACTGAGAAAAAATAATTGCAATTGAAATCATAATTTAAATTTCTCATCCAGAATTTTATTTTAATATGTAATCCTATTCAGTTTATAGCATCAAAGAATTCGCTTTGTATACATACAGGTGAAAATTTACGTAACGCTTACGCAAAACACAGATTAATATCTTCAAACATAATCATGAGGCTTTGTGATTAAAACATACGTGTCTGTGGCCATCGACTTATCATCATATTTCATTCTACTTAATATTTCATTTTAATACTTTTAAATTTAATTTATTTTATATTTGCTTTGTTAGAAGAGTCTTCATTTTTGTTTTAATGTTTTCTTGCAGATGGCAGCTCTAAGAGCGTTTCATGTTTATGATGATGCCAGGTTATATTACTTAACGGATGCATATGGTAAGTAAAGAAATATCTTACCTTAATATTACAAATATCAGTTACAAGTAGGAGACACTTCTGGCAATAAATATTTGTTCCATATTGCATTTATCATCACGAATAAGTTCATTGGATTCAAAAATGGATTACTGCAGTGTCTTGATGACACAAATATAAAAAAATGCATTTTATATTAAGTTATAAAAATACCACAAAATATTTATGGGATATACAAAACATGGGTTATACTATAATAAGCCGCATTTTAAAAAAAATTCCGGACTGCGTTTAAGAAATATTTTAGTGACACATATGCTAATTTTAAAAATAATATTTTTGTGCATTGCTCTGTCATCTAGTATAAATTCCAAAAACTTGTCTAGCGCCTATCAGGGAACAATTCTAAGAAGCAGGAACCTATGGGAAAAGTGTTACCCATGGAAAAAGTGGGATTTATCATTATTTACTAGTTCATTTATCATTTCGTCGCCGTAAAACATTTTTTGATGAAATACTTGGAATGAAATCTCAATATTGTTCTTAAATCCATTAATATTTATGCCTAGATGCTAATGAAAAAGAACTAGAATCAGCTGCTCCTCTTCAAAATCTAACGCGGAGAGATGGGCGGTCAGCAATATTTCTCAGGTTTCGTCCACCAGATCCACAATCCGGTTACATCAAAGTTTATCCTGGAAAACTGGGGTAAGTGCGTTGACTCAATCAGTTGTTGTCTTAAGTCAAATTTTTATTAGTGTACTGCATTCGATTTTTTTTTCTTAAATAAAATTTTAGGTGTGTGAAATATATTGTGCGTCAAAGAATTCCAAATGTTTTACATTGAAATAAAGTTTTATTATATTTAAATGTACTTTTAACAAAAAATTTCTGTTCAAATAAACATGTGTTTGTTGTTTCAAAATTGAAATTTTGAGGAAAAAAGTTAATTAGCCTATATATTTTTCTTTAAAAAAAAAAGAAAAATGCATAAAAATCATTTAATCACTTTTGTTGAGATGTGTTCAACAATAAACGGGAAAAATGTTTTCTGCTTTATTACATTAAAATTTTTTTTTTAAAATTTCCCTTTATATAGGAGAATCACAAATGTTTTTCGAATTCACAACTTATTACAAGTGTTTGAAGATAAGCCATTTTTACATTTATGAGATAAATTTATTAATAACAAAAACTTTACCTTTGAAGTGACTTGCTTACTTTCTTTTTTTGTTAAAAATCAAAAACACTATTGTAGGAGATTTAGTTCTTACAATAAAGTCTACCATTAATTTCCTTTTCTTTTTAAATAGATATATTGAGTTTTTTTAATCTTTCATTAAAAACAACCATAATACTAACTAGTTCTATTAAACAATATGTATGCATCGGGGAGATTTGCCTTTTTCGCTGTAAAAAATTCCAGATTAAATTTCAGTGTAACGTACCGGCAATTTGCGTGCATCATCCTATTTTTACCGTAAAATATAATATCCTAACTTTCACTGTAATATTTATTTAATTAGAGTGATTTCACGATAATTATAACTGTAAAAATTACGGTACATCAGATTTTTTGCTCCATGGCATGTCTCGGTAAAAAGCATCGGCACATTAAGTATCGACATTTAACCAGTATTTTTTAGCATAATCCGGAATTTTTTACAGTGAACTTTTCTCACATCTTGCTTATTATAGCTTTCTTCTTTTTTTTCAGAAATTTTTGACAGGCATAGTTTAGCACGTTAAATGCCATGTGTGTCACCGGTGACCGGCTCTGAGTTTGTCGTAGCTCCACAGGGGCCACCGGTGACCGGTGAAGCCAGGATTATTAGACACACATAATTCGAGTAAATTTTTAACGTTTTTAATTTTTTTATATTATTATTGTTACTAAAATGGTTTGAAGAAATTAATGCAATACATAAGGAAAAAATCATTTTGGCCAGACTGGCAAGCCATGTAAAATTAGCGTGGCATTCAACGTGTTAAAACGAGTTTTTTTTTAAAACTTCGAGTACGTAATAACTATTAAGTTTCTCTCTGTGGCATTTAAACCCTATTATTATGCCATTTAATTTTACACTTAATATTTCCTTAAAGCTAATATTATTTAACAATCATTGTAAGTTTATTTTCCAAACTAAATTAGTAAATAATACCGAGCTAAAATCCATGACAATAATTTGAAATGAAATGACAAAGCAAAGATTTAGTTCTTTTCTCTCCCATAAAACAGGAATATTGATGAACACCAAGTGATACCTGTAACTAGTGATGATGAAGTAAACGATGTTATGGAAAGGGCTTTAGAAAAATTTGGACTAGATCCCTCTGATGTTACAAAGTATAGACTAAGTGAAGTATCATTAGATAAGGGATGTAAGTATTCGCTGTTTTTATATAAAGTAGATCATTTACATTAAGTAGAATTCCAAGCGTAACAGAGGGGAGATGACGCAGGTATTTTATCCTAAAAAATGTATTAAATATAGGTGAAAACAAAAAATTGTGCAATAATATGCTACTTTAAGGTGCAATGTTTAATTTAATTGCATAAAATAATAAAAGAACCTCATAATTTAATTGCCAGGTAATTAGTAACAGAGGGAACAAAAAAAATCCCACATTTTTGACATGCACTGTTATTTTCGCTATATTCTGTGATTCGGAACATCCTAAACATTATCTGTAATTTTTTTCAATTATCACATTTCAAGGTAAATCAAATTATTATAAGACTTTTTAAATTGCTTATACATTTTCATTAACTTAAAAAAAATGCAATGTAACAGAGGGGACATTTTGCAAATTTGACAGATAGTTGCAGGGAAATATCATGCCATTTTATTAAACATTGCATCTTAAAGTAGCATATTATTGCACAATTTTTTGTTTTCACATATATTTAATACATTTTTTATGATAAAATACCTGTGTGATTTCCCTTCTCTTACGCTTGGAATTCTACTACTGGTTTCAGTTGGCACGGAATTCAACTAAATATTGATTCTAAGTATATTATTTAGTAACAGGCGGTGAAAAGCCGATCCAATTCTGAGTTTACGATTATCAATTTTTAACTTCGCAACCTTGTAGTTTTGAACCCAACTCAGAAGTCAAGGGAACTCTTGATTCAAACGGTGGGATAAATTAGAGTTTATGGAGTATGTTTTGATAGAGTCGATTCTCGTTTGATATACATATAGAAGAAAACTACGAAAACCTTTCACGATTAGACAGATGGCAACGGGATTTTAAAACGTGTATCGTCTACCACTGAAGATATTTTTCGTCAGCATAGTGGTCGGAGCGAGTGGGAGGAGAATTCGTATCAACCAAACATCTTTTGTATTCAAACCTGTGTCACCTCACTAAGAATTGAACGTTCTATCCTCTGAGCTACAGCGACTTTGATACGAATTAGTCACGTCCTTTTGTTCTCATATTGCATATAAGAATAAAATAACGAACACTGCCAAAATAATAAAGACCGAAATTACAATTCTAGCACCAGCCCATAGGGAGTTTGAACCTATGACCTAAGGGTTATTAGCACGATGCTCAAACCAACTGAGTTTATAGACTATGTCTGCAAACATTTGATATAAATATAAAATAATGACTGATAATGAATTTTCGTCCGGTAGCGCGAAGCTCAAACCAACTCAGTTTATGGACTGTATTTGCAAAAAGTTGCTATGAATATAAAATGACTGATAATTAATTTTCGTCTGATACGAGGCCCGGAAAAAAAACTGACTAATTATAGTTGAAAAAGACGACCAGTACCAAATGCTCTCTATTTGCTACTTAAACCAATAAAGGATTTTTTTTTTAGTCATAGTTATTAAACAGAATTTAGTGAGCGAAAAAAAATTTTAACTCTTTTTTTTTCATTCACGGAAAACATTCGCAGACTTTTTTTCTCGTTCAAAAAACTCTTATAATGTAATGATGTAATGTGATTGCCTCAAGGTTTCGTTTTCAAAAAAGGTTGAGAGGTTGTTAAGTTTAAATTACGAATTTTTAACCATATCTCTACATCCAGATTTGTGATAAAAAATGAAAAAAATAGATAATAGTAATACTACCATATTTTTATTAGTTTATTTATAGTGCTCAAAATAAAAAACGGACCACCCTGAATAACTTTTGATCTAATGATCGGATCTTCACGTTCTAGGACTCCATCGTAATGGTTCGAGGGGGTGACCTCATATATGCTTATTAATTAGTGCATAGCATTTAATTGTACGACTTTTTAGAAATTAAATTTTTCAGGAATTATTCGACTGATTTTGCTCAAATTTTGTATTCTGCCATTTAAAATTACATTCTTTAAAATGATGTACGAAATTGTGTACCTTACAATAAATTTTTTTTGACTGCAATTAAAAGAAGAATAAAGTGTAATAAATATTTGCTAGATGTTATTTTTTGCTTGAAATTATCTTTGGACAAAGGAATTTTATAATTATGTTTAAAAATTTTTGAGTTCTCGAGTCATGGAGGAATACACGAAAAATAAAATTAACAATGACGAGTTCAAACCCTGGACCAAATTCTTGATCAAACTATTGGGACCATATTTCCCAGAGGGCGGCTGTCTCCTATACTTTGGGGGACAGAAATCCAAATCCGCCAAAAAAAGGTATGTTTATCTAAAAAAAGTACGTTTTTGTTCATGATTTCGTAAATTAAAATATTATCTGCACTAATTAAGTAGAGGTTAAAATTGAGTCCTATAACGTGAAGATCCGATCATTAGATCAACAGGGTGGTTCGTTTTTTTGCGCATTGCACATATTATTGTACTTTCATAGCTGAAAATTACTGTTAAAAATAGATTGAAAGTTAACTCATTTTTGAGAATTTATTATTGAAAGGTTTCCTATTTCGGAGGGAGAATTACAGCACTATTGCCGTTTGACTATAGCCCGTAAATTTAATACTTTTTACCATTAATATGGGTTATTTTATTAGAGTGATGAATGTACACCACAAGATTAATTTCACGCCAGTAAATTTCACGCAAATTTTAATATTTTTTGCATAACAATGAGGATTAATATTCGTACTTGTATGGGACAAGTATAGAGCATTAATGTTGATAAATCTTTTTATCGGGGACTCTCCACAACTATTTCAAATTTTATATACTTGATGTGTAAAGTGGAATGAATCACAAGCAATTAACTTTAAAGATAACACAAGTTAGACATCTTAGTTTTTTTTTTTTTTTTTTTTTTTTTTTTTTTTTTTTTTTTGCAAACTACTTGATTGGTAGTTGTAGCGAAACTAACTCATTTTCTTTGCACTTGATATACTTAACGTGTCAAGTGGAATGAGTCACAAGCAATTAATTTTAAAAGTAACATGAGTTAGATATCTTAAAATTTTTTTGTAGCAAATTATTTGATTGATATTTGTATCGAGACTAACTCATTTTATTTGCAACCAAATATTTTGTCGCCTGAATTCTTGCAATAATTTGGTTGGTAAAGTATTATCAAATTTTCTTAACCTTATTTCGGGACTCCTATTTTAAGTGATCGGTAATCACCACCTTAATATATATCTATAGAATCCTTATTGATATTAAAGACAAAAAAGTATACATACTAGTATATACAAACCCTTATTTAAGCAAGAAAATGAAAGAAAATAGGCTATTGAAATCAGCCGAATGCATACCTGCCAACTTTCACTCTTTCCGAGAATGGATTTTCAGAGTGGTTGTAAAACAATAAACGAAAAACAATCTGACTCAAAAATATATTTATATTTTGATCCTGTTGAAATTCGCTTGTGCAAGGATTATTATGCTTTTATATATTTATTGTAATTATTTATATGTAGTGGTGGTCAAACTCATTTATAATTATCATTATAATTCAAAAAGTTAATTAGAATAACATGAGTATTGCTACCACTTTAAATATGAAAATAAAATCCTCCGGAAAATCCGGAAGAGTTGGCAGGTATGCGAATGAATAGACGAGATGAAAAACATCAAAATCAGAATAAATAGCTTGATAATACTTGGAGATGTTTCTTTTAACTCCTGTCTGCTTCCTTCGGATCTAAAAAAGGGGGAAATTCCTTTTTGACTAAATTTTTGACATGGATTCTAAAAACATATAATGGTATTAATTTGTTCGTGTTTTTTTCTCCTTTCAAAAATAATTTAGTTATTGGGTGCGTTTCAAAATAATTGATTGCTTAATTGATTTACTTACTTGGGCACCAAATCTAATTTTTGCTGTATGATTGAATCTCGCTGCTAAAAATGCAAAAGGAAACAAATATTTGACTTTTGATTTATTTGTGAATAAAAATTTCGAAATAAATCCGTTTTAAAATTTATTCTGGCAAGATTTTAAAATTTATTCTAGCAAGACAGATAGCGTCAAGGGATACAATGCAAAAAATTCTAGTGGTTGCAGAACGAATCTGTTCTAATTTCATTTCAGTGTTTCGTAAATTTGCTATTACTGTTCCATATAAGGTTGTGTCATTGTGTTGTATGTAAATTCATAAACAAGAATATTTATAATGCTATTGCATTTTTGTTATAGAAATTCTTTTTATTAATGAATATATGAAATTTTTTGTTAAATTTCAGCTGTTCACGAAAGGCCAATGGATAATCAAGAAAGCCCTTGGGAATTAATCAAAAATATAGCAAGAGTAAGTTTAATTACGTTTTAATTTTTTTTAGATTTTAAACTTATTTATCAGATGAATCAGTAATCACATTTTAAACTTCATATTTTACCTCAAATAGTTTCATTGTTTTGAGGGTTATAAATAACCTAATGTTAAAATAAGTTTTTTTTAAAGCTCAATTTTTTTAATAATTATTTTCCAATTTAAATAGTATTATTTTATTTTTAATTTTATTTTCATAATAAATGAAATTTATGTATATTTTTTAATCTTGTTACAAAATGGAAGATATGTAATGGGAGATATTTTTCCACTAATTTTTAAGATTAAAAATTATTTATTAACTGTCATTTTTTTTGGAAACTGTTATACACGATTTTAAAAAAAATAAAAAAATTCAATATGTTAATGAAAAGAGTTTAAAAAAAGAGTAAAGCAAGAAAAAGGGAAAATAAAACTAAAAAAATAATCTTGTAGATTTGGCTGCCCGGCTGGTATAGTGGAAAACATAATTTTTGTTAATTATATTTGGAAATTGTACCAAACCCGCTTAAAGGAATAAGTGGATTTGGTACATTTTCCCGACACTTAGTTGCCCGACTGCTCGATTGTCCGACTCCATTTGCTCGACAACTCAACTTCTCGATAGTTACTCTTACCAAACAGTAAAGGAAACCAAGGAAATAAAAATAAAAATATGACCACCGAAGCCGACGTCTTCAGGTGGTACCGGCCCCGGTAGCCATAAAAACAAAACTATTTCTAATTGAGGGAGAAGCAAATGCCTAAATTAACTCCCTCAGTACCCCGATGGTTTTGTATAGAAGTCCAGGAAAAGACATGAAATACAAATAACAAATTACGAAAAGAAACTCAAACAGAATCATCAGAAAAATAAAAACTCTCTTGGTCAACAAACAGGTCCGTTTGTCCGACAACTCATTTTTTCAACAGTGCATTTGCCCGACAAAAAAATTACGAAAACTCTACTTAATTGATAGATATAATTGATCAGATTTATCATTAATTTATGAAAAATACTAATTATGCAATCAGTGCACATCCTTCATTACAGCCACCTTCCCTCTGCAACGACTAATGCATTAAGAATAGTATTTTATTCCACAGTATTTTGAAAGTGCAAACCAAATGGATGCCAAGTTCCCAGCGCGAATGAATATTATTAATCATCAACTATTGAAACGACGCTGTACTGACTTTTTTTTACTCGCTTTCTTAAATCATGTGAAATGAGGAAAAAAAACTTATTAAATAATCAATATTGCAAGTAATAAGAATTAATAAAAATGATATCTAGAAATCGTAACAAATCTACGCTTTTCTGTTTGCATTTAAAAAAACTAATGAAAGAATAATAAATATTGTTTCTTGTAGACGATCTTCTTCTACAGCGATACAAAAGTTAAAATTCTTTATCTCGCGTTAGATTTGCTAAGGGTAATTTGATTTGTCAGCTTAAGACGCGTCATTTTTAGTGGTCCAATCAAATCCAATGCTCTTGCAACGTCATATAGTTGTTTCTCTTACAAGAACGAATGTTCACCTTATTTATCGAAATATGTCGCCAAGTCTAGGATTCCAGTAAGACTAAAAAATTATAACCTTTTTTTAATAAGTCTATGATGTATATTGTAAGAAATAGAACGAATAAAATTTCTGTCTGACGTGTTTAACTTTTAAAAGCTTTTGTATAATTTTGAATATTTTCATATTTGTATAGTTTGATAACTAAGTAAAACGGAGCTATATGCAGTTGCGGATAGTGACTTAAATCCTGCACCGCAATTTTTTCTTAACTTGCAATGGAATATAGAATTTTGATTCGAACGGCAATTTTACTGAACATGTAATTTTATTCAGTGGTTCTGTTTTGAATCTCATACAATTGTTCTTATTGGTTTCAGAGCTAAAAAGGCCGTGCATTGTTGTAGTGCGACATTAATAGTAGTAATAATAAAAAATATCACATCAAAACAACATGAAGCAACTATTTCACATTAGACTTGAAAAGTGTTTTCACAACTTAAAAGAAGAAAAAAACTTAAAGTGTATTTCGTTCGAATCAAACGTTCAGTTGGTATGAACAAACTGTGGACCTTTAAAAAATAAAGGTTGTTTAAAGAACCTTTTTGTGACATTCTATCTTTAGTTTCTAGAATAATTATTTGATTATGCATATTAGATCGTCTAAAGATTTAATCAAATGTGCATTTTTCTCTTAAAAAGAAAACATCACAGTCGTTGATGAAAAGAAAACTTGAAACACTTTTCTTTTCTTGCACGCCGCCACAATGCATTAAGACGCTCTGCTGTTCTGTTCCAGGGTTGCATTATTTTTCATGTCGGCTTGGCGATTATTTTATTACCCCCTAGTTTATGTGTATATATGTTCATCAATAATAAACCCATACATTCGGCAGATTTTTGTTTAATAGAATAATAGTAATGATAGTACTATAAATTTTAAGATAACCAAACTTAATACTAGTACATGTTATTTTCTTATATTTCTTACACTGTATTATTTGAAATTCTATGGTTATTAGTATTTATATATATATACATATTTGTATATATAGTTAGTTAGAGCATTTATGCTTCATATTACTATTTATATAATAATGAATATTTCATTTGCTTTCAAACAGGAATCAATTAGGCAAAAAGAATTGACTAGGTTTTGCTTACGGCAAAAAGAAGATTTACAAAGTTCATCTGTCGCTCTTTTTGTAGGAAACCTGCCACCTAATTTGTCTCAGAGACAATATGAAATGATTCTTCTTGAAATGTTAGGAAAACGTAAGTATGAACTAATTCAAGAAGGGAATTTTCCTCACTGCTCCGATAGAACTATCTAAGGGTTAAATATTAAAAGTTTTAACAAAATATAAGTGAAAAGTAATACTATATTATCAAAAATTTTTTTAAATTTTTTAAAGATCTCAGTAGATGATAGTTTTAAGATATATTTGAGTGAATTTGAGTAAATTACCTAAGTTTATTACTTGGCAATAGGAAATAAAGATGTTTGCCTTTGATTCTTGTTCATAAGCTTCCGAATGGCGAAATCTCTAAATTCGAAACCTTATTTAAACTTAGTTTGTCGCAACATTTAAAATTTTAAACTGTTATTATCATTAAACTGTTATTAAGCTGTTATTAAATGCTAAAATCATATTAAACTGTTGCCAAAAGACATGTTTTTAAGCATGACAAGGAACATGTTCATGCTCCTTATTGACTATTTATTGAGAAATGCGCTTAAAATCTTGTTCAGCACTGAAACGAAAGAAGATTGTCATTTAGTTTAGTCATTCACTGATATGGGTGAATAAAAAAAAATAAAGAAAAACAAGATCGTCAGTTTTCTAACACATAGCTAATAATATTTATTTCAATATGTACCTAATACTTGAATTGATTAAGCATGATTGGCGTCTATAACAGTATGGATGTTTTTCAGCAAAACTTTTCCATTAATTTTGCCTTTAAATAAATAAATAATTTTATTTTTAATTTCAATTACCGTTGATTTTAAATTATTTACCTTTTTGAAACATGCTATAAAAGAATTACTATAAACAGAGTAAGCATGTGGTTTCTGATAACTTTAGAAATACTTATTTGGTGACGTATTCCTCCCATGCTACCACATTAACGAATTTATCCAACTTAGCGAGTAAAAAATAGTTAGATATTAAAGTACGTGAAATAACATTTTTTTATGAAATAGAGCTATAAGCTCTCAAATATCACACATTTTATTTTTGAAAGATTGTTAAAAAAATAGAATTATCTATAGTTTAATTTCAAACAATTCCTAACGCTTAAACCAATCAAAAAATTCTAATTCGTTTTTCGCTCATCCTGCTCGAAAGGTTTATTGCAGAATGTTCAAATGACGACATTGACCTTTCCCGTGCTTCGAACTACCAGTATGCCAAATTTCATTGTATATGTATATAGATATAGACAGATTGAACAAAAATAAGGTATTTTCCTGAAAATCCATTTTTTCTTCAGGAAAATCGCTTAACCTTTTATTTTTTCAATACAGTTCTGAAGTTTTTCCCAATAAAGTCAGACAAAACAGGATCCTTACATTTTCTCTCTTTTCCAAAAAAAACTGCATGAATAAAAATATTCACATTTTCATTTGAATGGCTCCAAATAATGATGATGGTAATAATAATTTAATGTAAAAGAAAATTATATTTTAGTGGGTAAATAAATCATATTTTGGAAGTATGATAAAATTGGTCGAATAAAACCGGGTTTTAGTAAACTTCCCACTAATTGGATAAAAATAGATATGTATAGAAATATAAGTTAAGAAAAAACAACGTATATTTCTGACTGAAATATTTATTTAAATCATTAATATGTGGTCAAATGATTCAATTGGCTATCTGTAACTCGAGAAGAAAAAGACCGCTGAAATCAATTGGTTGTGTATAATTAAGACAGCGTGTTAATCATAATTTTCAATCATCGGATCAGGTTTAATTGGGTACTAGTAAATGACATCACGTATGGGTGTCAAACCTGATTGGCTACTAAATCGTGGCATAAGCAAATGCCATGATTCAGCAGCTACGTAATGGCGCTTGCAGGTTCCCAATTGCATACGTTGCAGTATGCTATTCTACTTTTGTATTTTGTTAATGTAAAATTTGCTTATAGATGCCTCTTTGTTTTCAAATTTCTTTTGTTTATCATTAAAAAAAATGATGAGTAAAAATTTGAAAATGATTTTTTTTTAAAGCATCATCTACGAAATCGTTGATATAAAAATTGTTTCACTTATAGTATTTATTTTTCTTTATCAGAGTGTTCTATAATAATTATATTATAATTTCTTTATGTAATTCCAAAGAAGAAACTAATTACGAACATTATAATTTAATATTTTATTGAAGATAAAATAAAGTAAGGAATTTTTATAGATAAAATAATCATATAAAAATTAGATAAAAAAATAAACTTGTATGCTGTTAAAAAGATTTATAATAGATGCGTAATTTTTATAAGTTTTTAACATATTTTGAAAATCTATTTCAGCATATAAATTCAGGGATCTTGGTCCTATTTACTATGAATATGGATCTCTAATTATTAGCTATGACAACGCAGATATTGCTGTCAAATGTTTTTACATGCTTAGAGAAACAGTTTATGACGATAAAAACCTTCTAGTCCTTCTCCTGCCAAATCTCCTGCCAGACATGGTGCCCCATGGAATAAGGGTAAGTGGTTCGTCTTTTTATATTATTCATATTATGAAAAGAAGCATTTTCATTGAAAATGTATGTATTTTATAATTAGCTTACTTTTAAAAGTAATTTTTTTCAATTTGGAATTTTTAAATTAAAAAAAAATAGATTTTGCAATTTTTAAGGCAATATTTCATTAAATTTTACGAAATAATTGATTATGAACTTAAGGAAATAATGTTCTATACTGTGATTTCATGATTAATTTATGTTATAATATTCTTTGTAAAATTCTGAAAAAACTGTTCTGACTTGACTAACATTAGATTTCATTTTTAAAGAAAGCTAAATTTTATTTGGAGAGTTCTAGGAATAGGTAAAGTTTTCTTATTTGAATGTATCAAACTGATAGTTTTCTAACAATTTATTACTACAAATATATATAAAGTATAATAATTATACTACTTCAAAAAAGAAGTAAAACTTTCTCTTCGTTGTTATGAAATCGAGTAACTTTCATTACTATATCTATGCGTAATACATACAGATGACATTCTGTGATTATTTGAGAGCTAATCTTTACTTAAAGAAATTAACATGAACATAGACAGAATCTGAAATCCGTAAGTTGTTATAGATATATACTTTCTTATAGTTTTAAAAATTAATCCTAACTATTCAAAGTATTTAGTAAAACAAAATTAACTTACATGCAAAAATCAATATATTTTTTGCAAAATAATTAGATTTTAAAAAACTATAAAAGATATATTTGTCATTTTTATCAAATTATTTATGTCCTTATATACCAATATTATTTTTGTTTTTGTCAGGAAGTTATTTCTGGAAGAAAAATTTGCAAACGAAATAAAATTTTAATTAGAATTTTATATTTAAAGTACTGTTAATTATACTAATTTATATGCCTTGTTACGAGTCTCTTGGCTGGTAAAAAAAGATATCGAAGTGAAATATGAAGGAGAGATTTAAGAGAAACTTCGCCAAAAGTGGTAACTGATTCCACAACAATTCTCTCTTTGTCGATTTTGAACTACTTGTCATAACCTTCTATAGTCAATTATAGACGGAACTGACATTTTCAGAGAGAGTGAAGAGCTGTGAAAAGTTAACTTTTAGATGGTTCGGGCTGTTTGACAGGTAGTAAAAACAATTGGAACCTGCGAGTGACGTCATCGTATGTAAATTGAGGCATTTGTGGATTTCAACACAACGTGTGACGTCGTCTACAGATATCCAATCAAATCTGATTTTACTTACATGGTTAGGCTTAATCACTTTACATCTTCTCGAGTTGCATGTAATTAATTCCAATCTCCTTGTATTGTAAGTACGAAGGACACCAAGAACGTGGAAAAATTTTGTTCGGCAACGGTTAAATTACTAAGTTTCTTTGCGAAAGTATATGTATTTTACAGCAATTTAAAGGGATATATCTTTTCAGCAATTTAAAGATTAGTACGGAAGAAACATTATCTTAAAGCTGAAAAGCACAAAGAACTTCCTGAAAATAATAGAAAAGTCAATACTTTTATGATCCCTAACCAGCAGCCAAGTGTCAGTGGTTCCAACGAAAATATACTCATTATCAAATCGGAAGACATCTTTCAAATTCTCGAGAATTTCACTAATTTCAGTTTATTCATTTTTCTAGTGAAACCACAAGTTCTTAAGATATTGTTTCTCTTGTTATTATACAGTTTCGGATGAATTTATCTCCATATTCTTTAAACATCTTGCTGTTATTTTCGTTATGAAAATTATTCTTTTTCTAGTTCGTGATACAAATTAGTGGCTGTGGTAATGTTTTTCTCCCTCATTGCTGAAATATATTTAAGAATAAGTTTAATTTACATTTATCTGTCCTAATATACAACATCTTGTCGATCACCCCAAGTCAAATCTAGGAGGAAATTTTCTTTCGTTTCTATTCTGTAAATTTTTGCTATCTACTAATCATAGAATGATACCCGTATGTCGTATGTCGTAATTCTCTTACTACTCTAGATGCGTTAGATACTCCAACTGATTCTACAATTTTTTTCTTTTCCCATATGCTTTTTTCTCGATATTTTCCAAAATAAACATACTCAATAAGTTTAAAATATTTTTAACTTGAACTTCGTAAGGTCTCAAACACTAATAACGATATTTTTTGCAGCCTCTTCTAGTCTTTGTTAACGTAAAAAGTGGTGGATGCCAAGGAATGGAATTGATTTCATCTTTTAGGCGGCTACTCAATCCATACCAAGTTTATGATCTTGAAAACGGTGGACCCTTACCGGGGTAACTTTTCCTCTCCCCTTCATGCTATTGCATTATTCCATTTTTTTAAAAAAAAGTTATGTCTTACTTGAAAAAAATAATCAATAAAACTTTAAATCTTTTTCAATACCTTTAATTTCTTAATTTTTCTGATTAGAAATGTTTCTTGCTATACTAGAGTTTAATAAACTTAACAAAATCTTTTTTTATTTAATTTAAAATTAATTAAAACTCAAAATTTGTCTCTTAATTTACAACACGTTTTTTTTTTGGAGGGAATCAATAGAAATTTTTCCAGATAGAATATTTTAGATATTTATTTGACACTACGAAAAATACGTTTCAGGATATAATAAATGTTACAGTTCTTTGGAAGAAAAAAAACTATAAAAAATAAAAAAAAAAAAAAAAAATTAGATAGTGTTTTAAAATTTTTTTTAATAAATTATATGCAATGAAAGAAATTAATAAAATAATACTAATTTAACTTTTTTTAGACTTAATTTATTAACTTATTTTTCAAGAAAAGTGCCATGAAAGAATCTGACAGATTTGACCACAAAATTTGCACTATGTTAAAAATATAGAGCATATTTAGCCGTAATGTCTTCAAAACTAACAAAAACCGTAATAAGATATTAGGTTAAATAACACTTCCGTTGAAATTAATTTGCAGTACACACGGTAACAATATGCATTTAAATTTAACATTAATTGAAGCCGTGGAGACTTTTTGAGTACCAATTTTTCGGTTCAACTTTGAGCAAATTTTTCTGAGAATGTTTAAGGATGTTTTCTGAAGCTCTTTTTCTTAGAAAAAGAAGTCAGTCAGTCCTTAACTTTATGACAAAGCTATAATTTTAAATAATGCATATCACCTTGCCGTATAGAATAATATACACCTTAAAACTGAGAAATAGCTTACATTTTTGAAACGGGGAAACTTTTCCATCTAAGTTGGGGAAAAATGAGCGCTACACCCCACTTCGGATCGATGACCTCTCATCTGCAGGATAAGTGCTGCACCCCACTTCCTCCGTATTGATGAGAGTTCAACCCCACTAATAAGCTCCTAGTAGGGATATGTAGCAAGGCTCTCTACGTAGTATGATTTGGACTAAACAAATGCTTCTTAAAAATTATGGCCACTTATTTTGTCACAGCTATGGGTATATTTGAAAAATTTGGCGCGTACTTTAGGATCTGTAGCAAGTTTCAAATGAATTCCTTAAATTCAAAAATTATAAAAAATTCGCAAGTTGTCCTCCAATATGCCAACTACAAATATGCTCTTAACGTAGTATTGTTTAGAGTAAACAAATCCATCTTAAAAATTTTGAGTACTTATTTCTTGACGCATAAGGGTATTTTTGAAAGCTCAGTTTTTTAATCTTTAGCAAGTTTCAAATGAGTGCTTCGTTGTGAAAGATATAAAAAATCCACAATTTATCCTACACTGTGTAAATTTTTTCACAAGTCAAATTTTTCAAAATTACATATAGATGTGAAGAAATAAATACCCAAAACTTTTAAGAAGCGTTTGTTTAGTCCAAACCATATTAAGTAAAGAGCCTTGCTACTTTTTTTCTACTAAGAGCTTATTAGCGGGGTTGAACACTCATCCATACTGAGGAAGCGGGGTGCAGTGCTCCTCCTATAGACGAGAGGTACCCGATCCGAAGTGGAGTGAAGTGCCCATCCCATAGTACCAAAGCACCCATAGCACCCAAAGAGAGGTCTTCAATCCTAAAAATGGGGTTTAGCGCTCATTTTCCCCCTACTCACTAAGTTCAAAATTTTTCAAATTAATTAAAAGCATTTTAATTCAATTTATATTCAATTTTCGCAAAATTTTATGAGCCTAGACAATACAGTGCTGTATTAACTTTTGAAATATTAAAGCATTAGATTATAAATGCTTCTACGGGCAATATCGTGTCTTTTTTTCATACTGCTAATTTGTTCCATTTTCAAAATCGGCATAGGTGGTGCTTGCTAAAAATAAGCAAAACTTAACAGTCACGATTAAATGTTATGAACTTAGAACAACTATAAAAATAGCATAATATTCCCTAAAAAGTGTTGTTATTGCAACAGATCCTTAAAAAATGCTTTGACCAAGCTTAATGTGTTTTTAAAAAATAAATAATATCTAAGTATTATGTGTGTGACCTTTGAGAGTTAAGTAACCTCTATGTACATTTTGAAAAAATTTCGGATCAAATTATGATAAAGTGTTCCGGAACTAATTCCTTACCGAAAAATCCATTTTTACCAATGACTTGAACCGAGTTCGAATAATAGTGATGGCTGGTCGATACGAATTCCACATCCGGCTTGCACCGATCACAGTGATGATGTTAAATATCCTCAGTGGTAGACGGATCATGGATTACAGTCCCCTTGCTGTATTAGTAATGAATTTTCTTTCTGATAATGATAATATTCTAAAATTTTAAGTAAAAAAAAAATATATATATATATATTTTGGAATGCTTACTTATATGTTGTAAATATTGTATATATTTTTCTATTCAACTTCTCATTTATTATTATAACATTTTAATTACTTTATTTTATTATATAATACCTGGAAATCAAAATTTTAATGGATAACTTAATTTTTTTTTAAATTAACCATTTATTTAATAATTTACTTTTCAAAATTCATTTATTGTCACTTTCTATGTCACATATACTAAAAAACAAATTCTTGCTTAAACTATATTCAAATGAATATTTCTGTATATTTGTAAACAAAATTGTAATCACCTTTCCTTTGAAATTTCAAATAATTGCCAGTGATCAAGCACGTTCCCGGGGTTGAGGTTGGCTAGAATAGAGGCCAGACGCGGATTATACGGGTAAGGGTTTTACTAACCTAGGTACGTATCCGCGTCTGGAAGGAAAGATAGGAAAGTCCCCTTGCTGTCAGGTTAACCATGGGAGGATTTTAGGTTTTTCCTATCCATATAACGCAAAGGCTGGTTAGCTCCGTCAAAAAGTCCTCCACGAATTCTAATTTCTCCCAATACTTAATTCAGGAGTTTCTTTGTCTTCTGGATTTGGTTCAAAATTACAAGGTCATGGCGTTGAACATTTGTAGTCGTAAACCCAAAAACAGGTCGGCTGTTCAATGACATCTATAAAATAACGTTTTTGCCTTAAAATCTCTGAATCATTAACCGAATAATGTAAATCCCTGAATTAAATAAATATTACTGTAAAAATTACGGTATAATATTTTACTGTAAAAATAGATTTTAAGATAATATGAATTTTATGGATGAGGCACTTAAAATGGCGGTACTTTGTATCGTAATTTGATCCGGTATTTCTTACAGTGAATGTAACCTTCCTGTACTAACTCCAACATTATTTGTTTTGTTTCTGTTTTCAGACTGTATGTGTTTCGCCACATCCGAGACTACAAAATTCTCGTATGTGGCGGAGATGGAACTGTTGGTTGGGTTTTGCAATGCCTGGACAACGTTGGACAAGATTCCGAGTGTCAATCACCACCATGCGCGATTCTGCCTTTAGGGACTGGAAATGATTTAGCTCGAGTCCTTAGGTGGGGACCTGGCTACACAGGAGGTGAAGAGCCACTATCCATTCTCAAAGATGTCATCGAAGCCGAAGAAATTAGATTAGATAGGTAAACTTTAATCTTTCTTATGGATATCGTTTAAATAATTTATGCTAATAACCTATTCTCGAAAATTTAGAAAGTTTTGCTACAAAAATAAGCTAAGAGTTATCACTAATAATGAAATAGCTTAAATATTATTATTTTTAGAGAAAGTACCGTTTAACGCATTTCTAAGGCAATTGTTACGTCTAAAGAACAAAAAACTATAATAAAGGTGTCAGAGATGCTTTATGCTTTTTTTTTTAAATTTGATAAAATTAATTTACATGTTTTAATATGCGTTTGAATTAAAAGACTTGAAACAATACAATAATAAGTCACATTTTCAAATTGTCTAGGAGAGGATCTTTGTAGAAAATTACCAATATATCAATCTAATAGGAAATACGATATTACTTGATTAAAAACTTCATTTGCTTTAAAAAAAAATACAAATTGGAACTTGAAAATGGGAACCTGTTTTTGAGCGCTTGAAACTGTCGACTGTTGTTTTCAATTTTCTGCATTTTTGAAGCGATCGAATTTTTCAATTAAGTAGCATCTTTCCGCTTTAGTTTCTTAGGATTATTTTTTTAATAACAAAATAGATGTTACCTACATTGAACTCGTAAGAATTTCATGTATGACGTTATGCGTATTTTGTTCTGTTATGTTGTGGAAATTTTGGACTCTTGTAAAATACCTGTCAGGAAAATATATTTTTATTGCTCAATTTTTTTAACATAAAAAAGAGGTTTTAAAAATATCAAGGATCATGAATATGAAATAAATAAATAAAAAATACTAAAATACTAGCTAATTGAAACATGCTTATACACTTTTCTTATGCTTCTGCAACTTCCAATGTTTCGTATTTCTTTCACACATTAGAATCAACATGCATGGAATTATGTTTTTTTTAAATTTTTTTTTAAACTTTAAAAAAGCACTGCTGAATTCGTTCAAACCCAATTCCAACTCCAATTATGATTGAAACAAATCATTTAAATCATTAAGAAAACAGATCTTAATTCAGATTAAAACAGATCTAAACCTATGAAATAAATGTGAATTTATATGTGAATTTATATGTGTTGTTTCAGATGGACTGTTGTATTTCACGTTGACGAGAAAGGTGATGATAAGTCAGGACTTAATGCTGGGAGTTCTGAAGACAACACCGCCATTTTCGTTATGAATAATTATTTTGGTATTGGAATCGATGCCTCTTTATGTTTAGATTTTCACAACGCCAGAGAAGAAAATCCAAACAAATTTAACAGCAGGTAATTTAAAATCCAAACATTAATAACATGTTCCATAATATTTAATTTAACAGCAAGTAAAACAAAAAGAAATTTGAAGGAAATAATTTGTTGGGTAAGATTTTAGCGAATTTGTGAGCGAATCATCATCAGAAAATATAGAAATATAAATCAGAAATATGAAAACATCAAAAAGATGCTTATAAAACACGTTTTCTTGCTGAAAACTGCGCCTTCTTTAATTAAGGCTTTACAAAGTAAATCAAGGTATTTCAATGCTTTATTCTTGCATCCGTTAAAATGATGGGGTGAAGTTTCGTCCGCCATTTCCCGTGCCCGTCATATTTCCGGGGTTAATGAAAAAATTACGAGCCAAAAAGATAAAAANTTGGCGATTTGCGAGACGCTCCTTCAACGCCGATAGATATTTTCGCCAACCCCTTTACAATCTACGGTATGTTTTGTCAATACGCTGCCCGGAATCATATTTATATCTAAATCTATGCACCAGGTGGCCGTTATAAACTATTTGTAATGTGCTTAGATATAGTTTAATTTAAACAAAATACTAAGCATGTAAGTTAAGAATTCTCTCAAAAATTGACCCAAATATTGTGCATACCTTTAGTTTCAGATAATATTTTTAAATAGGCACTTTTATAACCGTTTTCTTCAAAATTATGTAGTTACTAAGAGGTTCATTATATAGTCGAATATAATAAGTCCTCGTAGTACGGAAATTTAAATTTCTATGACTCTTGAGACGAAGTTTAAGTATGTTCAGAAAGACACAACATGTTCTTCAGTGATTAATATGTTCTTCAAATCTTAGCATGTTTTCTTTACTTGCGGAAGTATTTTCACTTGCTAATATGTTTTATTATGCTAACATGCTATTTAATGTTCAAAACGCTTTTCATTACTCAAAATAATCTACAAAAGAATCAGCATTATAAATTGTAGAATTATCAAAAGGATGTTAACAAAAAAAAATTCCCATTCAGAATTTCGTTAAAAAAGACATTCGCTTAACTAATCTTTTAATCATAGTAGACTATATTGCATTCTTATTCCTGAAATTTTAAGTATCTTCAAAATAACACTCAATATATTCTTCACTGTTTAACATATTAGCTGCTTAACATGTGCGTTAAAAAATTGGCATTAAAAATTATAGAAATATCAAAAGGATGTTAGCGAAACGTATGTTAATAATGAAAATAATTTTTTTAAAAGCATTGTTCCAATTATTGTAAAATAGAGTCGACTATAACGCGTTTTAAACCCTGAAAATTTAAGTGCTTTTGAAATGAAAGCGAACATGTTCTTCACCGTGTAGCACATTTTTCAATATTTGACATGTTCTTGCCTGATTAAGTCATTCTTCAATGCTTAACTTATACTTCATTGCACAGTTATTCACTTTTCCTAAACTTATTTTACTATCCTTATTTATAAAAAAATTTAGTTAGAATGAACTTTTATGAAGTTTACGAACTATAATTATTTTAAGTACATATAATTATTGTAGGTTAAAGAGAAAACATGCACTTTTACGAGAAAAAAAAATATTTTAAGAAGAAATTTTTTTAGTTCATCATCAAAAGCATTTAATAAACTAAACCCATTCATCTAAAAAAGAAAATGCATATCTATCTGTAAAAATAATTATCATGTTTTAAATACAAGCTCTTCATTTCCACGCAAGAGTTCAGATTTAAAAAATATATCGACATTAAATTTTAATTAAAATTATTTTTGTAATAAAAAATAAATTCATATCCGCTTAAAGTTTGATTTTTAATAATATTTTATTGTATTTTTCAAAATTTAAGTTGTACATTTTTTTTTCATTTTCCAAAGACTTGAAAATCTGTGTATTACTTAATAGAAAGTTTTGATGAAATAAAATTTACTGATAATAATTTGTCCTTAAGAACCAGTTAAATATATAAATAATTTATATTTAATAGATGTGAAATTCACGTATTTTTTTATATTTATAATTTTTTCGATACTTATAAATCTAATTTAAGAAGTAGATGATAGTAGTATGTATGGTAGCTACTTATATATTTGACTTTTACAGATAAATTTTAATTACTCATGATGCAGTAATTTTTTTCTATATACTAAACAAATAAGAACTTTTTTTAACTATACTCGTTTATATGAAAACGAAACCATCTTCATTACTGATAAGGGTTCTGAAAACATACATTAACAACTGTGTTTGCAAAATCCCCACCCCGATGTAAATTTAAATAGAACTCTCTTTTATAATAAGTTATTGACACTTAAGTTAGTAAAACGCCGATTTATTGCAATTACTTTATTTCTTAAACTAATAAGTCACAGCAGTAAATCGTGTTTTTCTGACCTAGGTCGCAATAACAAACCAATATTTTTTGTTAAACTTTTGAGACCAAATTTGTTTTTAATTCTGTGACAATAACTAGAGAACGTAAGTTATTTTTTTTCCTTAATTCATAGCTGTGCAATTTTGAAACTTAAGTTGTGTAGTTTTTTAAATAATTCAAAAAGCATCGTAATAGACACACATAAAAATGTTTTAAAACGTGCGAATATACAACATTGCAAAATTCCATCGGGCAAAATTCAAATAAAAAAGTGGGACGAAAATCTCATTTCGCTGTGCAACAGAAAAACTAACCTAAACAACAAAAGATTATAGATTGGGATTTTTATGTATTTGGTATTTCTGTGTAATAAACTGCTCATTGTAAAATAGTGTTTTCTTTTTTTTTTCAGAAATAAATTTTGTTTTATCAGTTTTTTGAAATTCTGTTTTAGCGTTCATCGCATGACTAATAAAAAGAAAATAGTTAAAAGCCACTTTCTACATTCTGTTTTTGTTAAATGTTCAGAAAATGTTTTAAATTTCGGTCGCTGAATAAAATCAATCTTTATTCTCACACATTTAATAAATACTTTTTTTAAAATGTGGTGCTAATTTTAAATGTTTTGGAAATGTTTCTTTCCTATTTTTAAAGGTTCCATAACAAGGGTGTTTACGTAAAAATGGGTTTGCGGAAAATGGTAAGCCGTCGAACATGGCGGGATTTTCATAAGGAAGTTCGCCTTGAAGTAGACAACAAAGTCATCGATCTACCTCCTGTCGAGGGCATTATCATTCTCAACATTCTCAGGTACATTTATAATTTTTTTTATTAAAGAAATAAAATGAAGAAAATTTAAAATTAAAATAATAAAAGCCAGAACATATTATATAGAACTATAAATTGAGGTATATCGGTCGAATTTGTTATTTGAATTTTTTAATATACAGTATTAATACTTTTTAATATATTTACAGTATTAATACTTAATAATATTTTTTAATATATATCTCTTATAACTCCAAAACTATTGGTGCTAGGGTTCTAAAATTTAGAAGTCATCTACAAGGAAATTTTTAACTCCCGATTCTAAGATCGTATAATAATTTTAATTAGACCATTTGGGAGAAATTTTAAAATATTATTATTATTATTATTATTTTTTTTGCTTCACCTGAAAATTATTCATTGTTACAAATAAAACTATAAACGATTCATGTTTAAGATATTCTATTGCATGTTTTTTAACGTTTAAATACTTTTTACAAGTTCATTGATCAACGTGAATAGCGTAACTACGTCTTCAAATTAGTATTCCTAAAGTTATCCGAAAACACGCGTTTATTTTGTTTATAGATGTGGTTTTCAAACGTGTTTTTATAAAATTAAATAATTTAAAAGCAACCGTAACTGAAATAAAGAAAATATTATGTATTAAAAAGTGAAGTTAATTTGGGAAAAGATACTGATTCGTTTAAATTAGCCGTAAAAAAAGTACTGTATTATTGCCGTCAATGATACTCAATTAATTCTGGTAATTATTTTTGCTGGTATTACAGTAATACAGATTGTTTTTTTTTTGCAAATGCATCTGACTTTAAATCGAGGTTTACTATCAGTAAAAGATTTATAAATACGAGAAAATATTGAAAAAAAGGAAAGAGAACTTTTTTAAACATGTAATGAATTCTAACACAAAAAAGTATAAATTAGAACAGTTTAAAAAATTTTTAAAAATTGATTTTTTTATGGTTCTGCACATAAAAAAGTAAAAAAATAAAATTTTGCTTGCAATTTATGAATTGCGTGTTAGAGTTGATACTGTCTCCAGGAATTATGTTCATTTTATATGAAGTTTATCATAAAATGTGCTATAAGACTTTCTAATAATTTTTTTAAAGAAAGCAGATGAAAAGTCGGTGGTTTTGAAAACAGTAGGGATATCAAATAATTCACAAACTTTTTACCTGCTTTCTTTAATAATTTTATTGCCACACATTTTATGATATACTTCATATAAAATGAATATAGTATTTGGAGAATTAACTGAGACTATATCAATTCGATTCTTATAAGTTACAAGCAAAATTTATTTTTTTAATTTTTCATACAGAACCATATAAATGTTACTTTTTAAAATTACTCTATTCTCAGACTCAGTCTGATGGAACATTTGATTTTTGTTTGTTTTGAGTACATAGTAGTATAAGTGACGCAGAATGGACGGTATTAATTACTCTACATTCCATTAATCAATAGACCTAATGTTTGAATCTAAATAGTTGCCGAACTGCAAAGTCGAAAAATAATAAACAAATTATAAATTGTATTTGGAGAGGAAACTGAATCTAATTTTATTTGTGTAGTTGGGGCTCTGGAGCTAACCCTTGGGGACCCGAAAAAGAAGACCAGTTTGCCAAACCTACCCATTACGACGGGATGCTTGAAGTTGTGGGTGTTACTGGAGTTGTTCACATGGGGCAGATACAGAGCGGACTGAGAAGTGCCATCCGCATAGCACAAGGAGGACACGTGAGTAATCAGTTTTAGGTCTTTCAATTCTTCATAAGAAAGTGAATCATTCACACAACAGCCCTTAATGGGCCAGGGGGTCAAGGACTCCACAATTTCGTGATCAACATCACTGTTGCGACAATGTGTTCAGTGCCTCGCACATGTCGGCTCTTTTAATTCCTTACTGGGATATTTTTCCCAGTAATGTTATGTTAAAATATATTTAGGTTTATATAAGAAAAAAATTCATTTAGCTTAGTATTTAAAATCAATTTAATTATTAAGACCAATTTTTTGGCGAAAAGGTGGATGCGATTTTCAAAATTTTAGCTACTGTAATGAATTGGCGATAAGCTTTCATTTTGTAACTATAAATAATCGAATCTATTATAAATTCTGTGTTGATAGCTGCAAATTAACTAGACGAGAAATGATCGAACGAACGAAAGCATAAATGACACCTCGTTTCTTGACTTTACGTTAACCTTTAATATTATCCAGATTTATGTTAACAAAACCTTTTTTTGTATTTTTTGAAATTATTGCAGATGGCCACACAACCCATACGTGAAAAAAATTCCTTCAATCGACGTTTGCAAATTAATAAAATTGGTGGGAAGTATATTTCCTACATTTTAATAAAGGGCTAACTCATGTTCTTTTTGGATAGTAGCCTGTCGAATTTCTATATCATTGGTTAAAAGAAAGCATTTGTTTTATTGGCTACTGCTATTGAAACCGGTTTAATATGTCTCAAAAATACGCTCTTTTTCACCAAAATATTATAAAGATAAAAGAATAATTTCAAAATTGTATTCCTGGCGTAACCAATAACGTGACTTCGAATACTTACACAAAAGTAATTGCGTTTACCTCACACTTTCAAAGTCTGAGTACTAAATAGTTCTTTTTTTAAAAAATATTTTAACAAAATTAAGTTTTTTTCCTCTTATAATTCGCTATTCAAGTTTCCATTTTTCCTTATTTTTTATTCCTTATTTCCTTATTTATTATTATTCTTGTAAAAAATTAAATTTTCTGAAGTCCTGAATTAAATTTTAGATAAGTTATAACACAAGAAAAAAATTCTGGTAACATAATAATACTGTATAGTAATGGCATCTCTGATAAAAAGTATATGGTATTTAAACTGGCAAATAATTCTTTTTAATAAAACCAAATTATATGGTGTTTAGACATTCATTTAGCAATTTCCTCCCTTTATATGACAATGGTTTACTGGAAATTCTGGCTTTTAAGAGTGTTATTCTTATTTTCCCATATTTAGAAGAAAATGCAAAACTAATAGTAAATTTAACCAAATAAATGGTTTTTATGTTATAATCTAGGCTATCGTGATAAAATTACCAAATTGTACCACATTTACCAAATTTTATCACGCATTCTAAAACCGTAGTTTATTGTTAATTTTGCCCAAATCATCACCAAAGTGCTTTGGTGAAAATTACCGATCTTTTTGGTGCTCCCATAGAGCCAGAAACTCGAACAAATTTTATCCTATTGTAGTAGTTTTGACCATACTTTTTTCAATCAGTGAAGAGAGTCGAAGAAAGTTCTACATTGATGCTGCCTTTATGAAACCCAAACCCCTTAAAAGTTATAACTTTAAATTTATGCTTACAAAATTTATAATTCTTTATCTTGGAAAAATTCACAAGATCTGATATCCTCAGTGATTCTAGAGCTGCTGTGTTGGCTATATCGTTTCTGACAATAATCCCATAACACAGGACATATTGTATTGCAGTTATCATCTTAAAAACCTGGCATCACTAGAGAAAACTATAGTACTCCAGTGGGTTCCTGCCCACTGTGAAGTTCCAAACAACAAGAGAGTCGACTTCTTGGCTAAAAATGGCACTTTAATTATGCAAATAATTTCTCGCCCTATGTCCTACCATACAATTAAAAATCGTATTAAAATATCTATTAAAGCCCGTGTTCAGGAAGACTTCTATAACCGCCTTTCCCAAAAGTCCTAGAAGAATGCCATTCCAAATTTGTGCAATGGCCATGCCGTAGAGCAGTCGCTGAATTCCGCCCAGTTACCGGACATGACTGCCTAGGAAACCATTTTATAGACTCAAAATTGTTACTTCCTCGATATGTACTCTGTGCAGCTCTGGAGGGGTAATGAATTCTGTACATCTACTCCATTGTCTTGTTCTGGGTAAGACTCTCGCCGAGCGTTATTGAGAGGCTAGAGATATGTTAGATAAATGAACTCTGTTTCAGCATTTTTTGTTGTACTCTGTGTTCTTTCTTTATACTAGTTTTCTGCTGTAACTGTTCATAATCTGTCATTAGAAATGAAAAAAAAAATATTCACGTTCATTTCTTCTTGTAGTTACGTATAAAGTTGCACACAGAAATGCCTGTTCAAGTAGATGGTGAACCATGGATTCAAAGCTCGGGTGAAGTAGTTGTTCTTAGATCCGCGCTTAAAGTAAGTAACTATTCTATATTTTCTATAATTTTACTTGAACTATACTAATACTGTTTCTTGAATACTAATAACTATGTTGTGTGTTAGTGGTGTGGCACATATGCATGAATGTTTGTTTTGAATGTTATAAGTCACTCACAACTATTTGCATATAATTGATTCTCTCACTTACCAAACTATTTGTATTGACTAATGCTTGCATTCTAAAAATCATATGAAATTAATGCGCATTTCTTTATAATGAAACATACCTCAGCACATTAATTAAAAATTCCCTGTCATTTTCTTTGCATGTTCTCAATATTTTACTAAAATTAATAAATTGGCAAAATAGTTCAAAATTTAAAGTTATTTCTTAAAAAAATAAAAATAAGCAAAAATTAAAGCGGTCAGTTTCAACAATATATTTTGAGTTTCGATTTTTCATGAATTTTCAATGATAATTTTAAAAATTTCGTTTGTAAATCTTTTTGTAAGATAATAAATAAACTGTAAATAAATTGTTAATAATAATTTTATAAATAAATTCGTTTAACAAATTCTCACATTTTGAATATTTTCGAATTTTTAAAATTTTGCTTCTCTTTAAAGAAATAAAATTAATAAAACTTTCTTTTTTAATTGCAATAAATATTAATCCGTCAACGTGTTTCTAAGAAAATGTTTAACAAATAATGTTTAATAATAATAAATAATAACTAATAATAAATAATAACTAATAATAAATAATAATTAATAATAAATAATTACTAATAATAAATAATAACTAATAAATAATAACTAATAATAACTAATAAATAATAACTAATTAATAGTAAAAATCACTTAACAATATGAATATTTTTATTTATTATTCTATTATTTTTATTACGTTATTATTTTACGGAAAATAAATAATATTAGAATTCTATCCTAATTCTAGATAAAAAGTTCTCCTATTTGGTTAAAAGCATATTTTAATTCTTTTATAGAATTTAGATACATCCGTATACTAATAAAGTAAATTGAATAATTATTTTAAAGAGAAAAGGTAAACTAAATCTCAATGATAGATTAGGTCTCTATAAATAGATATTTCAATTATTGGGTACAAGTTATTAAAATTTTTGCCAAATGAAAAAACGATATTTCTACTAATTCTCAGAAAAAATACTCTATATCTATAAAACATTAGAGCAAATAACTCGAACAACAAAAAATTCATGGTAATTTTATTTTAATGTAATAAATAATATATTTATAGCTTGAAAATATTTTTGCATGATTTTTGGGGGTTTGGTATTATGTATTTTAATATGCTTTTTATGTTTTTTTTAAATCAAAATAGTTTTTTTTTATTGAAAAACTACATTTCTTAAGTTGAAAAAGTGTTTGGAAAAATACAGCTGTTGAAATTGGTATAAACAGTAGTTAAACAGTAGTTTTGGTTGATATTATTTCCAGATAATATTATTTCACTTAATTTGAATTGAAATTTAAGCAAGCATTAATTAAAATTCGAGTATTATTGAATTAGCTATATATATATATATATATATATATATATATATATATATATATATGTGTCATTCTCACAAACATTGTATATATATATATATATATATATATATATATATATATATATATATATATATATATATATATATATATATATATATATATATATATATATATATATATATATATATATATATNTCAGTACGCTGTTGGGCCACCTTTTGCGCGTATTACTGCCTTAATTCGTCTGGGCATGGATTCTATGAGATGTTGGTAGGTGGTAGAAGGTATGCCAGACCATGCTCGCTGAACTGCACTTGCCAATTCCTGCAAATTTGATGGTACTGGATCCATCTGTCTGAGCGCCCGTTCAATTTCATCTCACAAATTCTCAATTGGATTGAGATCTGGGGATTGTGCTGGTCAACGAAGCAAGTTAAATTCTCCGTCATGCTCTTCGAACCATCTGAGGACAATGCCAGCTTTATGACAAGGAGCGTTGTCCTGCTGGATGTATCCATCCCCGCCAGAGTGCACCATTGACATAAACAGATGTACTTGATCTGCGATGATACTTAAATACCCTTGGGCTTTAAGGAGTTGTGGTACAGGAATTAAAGGACCCATACAATACCAAGAGAACATTCCCCATACTATAACGTTGCCACTGCCGGTTTGAAGTGTCGTGGCAATGCAGTTGGGGTCCATGCTTTCGTGCTATTTTCTCCATATTCTCATCCTGCCATCTGCGTGATGCATTTGAAATCATGATTCCTCGGACCACATGACCCTCTTCCAGTCATCTACTGTCCAATGTTTGCTCTCCTTTGTAAATTGGAGACGTCTGCGCTTATTTAAAGCAGACAGTAGAGGCTTACGAACAGGTCGTCTGCTTCCATACCCTATACGGCGCAATGTGCGTCGAACACGTCCGTTCAGAGACGTTCGCAGTTGCTCCATGATTAAGATCACTTGCAATTTGTCGCACTGTTGCTCTCCCGTTGCGCTGCACGACCCTGGCCAGCCTTCTCTCTGATCGAGCATTCAGTACCCTGTGACGACCACAAGTCTGACTTTGAGACTCGGTTTTTTGCTTGATTTTCCATTCTTTGTACACATTAACAACTGTTGCTCTAGAACACTTCACAAGTGCAGCCGTTTTGCTGATACACGTTTCGACACATCTCGCACCCACAATCATTCCACGTTGAAATTCAGTTAAATCACTTTTCTTTCCCATATCTGAGCAAGCAACACAGTATAACTGATGACTCACTTGTCCAGCATTCCCGTGTTATAGTTATCTTGCCCTCTAGTAGCAGCGCTGTGACGCAATAACTCATTTGCATAAAACTCTGAGGTGGTCATAATAATTTGGCCACTCAGTGTATATATATAAAGGATGTCCCAAAATTAATGCGAGATTTGAATTTGTCGCCATTTTTGCAGTAAATTGTTGGCAACCCTGAAAAATTAACAATTTAGCAGCTGAAAGTTTAGGGTAAAAATGGAGCGTACAAGACGGTGCCACTTACCATACAACCAGTGAAACAATTCAATTACTGCATGAGACATTTCCTGGCAGTGTACTCTCCCGTTTAGGTAATCAGAATTGGCCCCCTAGATTCTGTGATTTAACACCATTAGATATTTTCTTGTGGGGTTATTTGAAGTCAAAGGTCTTTGTTAACAAGATCACTACCACCCGTTTAAGCAGAAAGCAGAAAGGTCAAGAAAAATTTAAACAAAAGAGTGTGCATGTGCCATCAAAGCCATGGAGGCCATTTGCCCGATATGTTATTCTATAAATAACCCTATCCTATGTACTTTATGATTCAATGAAAAAATAACAATCTAAAGACTAAAAACTGTGTTTTCTATTTTATTCAAACCTTGCGTTAAATTTGGGATACCCTTTTTAATATATATATGTATATATAATATTTATATAGATAAAATTCATATTATATAAAATTTATAATATATAATTAGCATATAATAATAGAAGATTGACACTCATTGGTTTTGATTCCTGAAACATAAATTTTATATTAACTTTGATTTATCAACATCCAGAATGGAACTCATAGATGATGTTACTCTCACTTTAGAAGAAATTTTTCAGAAGAAAATTATTATACATACGGGTTATGATCGAAAGAAAATTAAAGTTGTGAAGTGCTGATACAGTTAGCTAAAGGGCAATGGAGCAACTTTAACAACATATTCTAATTAACGCATCAAAAAATTGCTAAATAACTTTTAAACTCATCTCCGTTGTTTAATATTCACTATGATAATCACTGTTTGTACTTTAAGAAATTTGCGCTATCTTTGACGAATATATGAGCATAAAGGTTATGACAGAAACCCTTGTTTTTTTCTTCTTTAAATAAAGATTAGCGTGTAACAATTAATATCCAGATCATAATTATTATATCGAATAAACATATCATAAAAGTAAACCATTAGACATTTGCAAAATACAAAAGTACCGTAGTATATCTCACAAATACAAATTCCAAGAAACTTTCAAAATTCAAATGCACAGCAGTAGATCTAAAAAATAGAAATGCTAAGGAATTTGAAAAATCTAGAAAAGATATTCTAATAAAGAATAGTATCAACATAGTACTAAAAATTATTAAATACTTGAACTGAAATTGTTAGAATTTTGGTTATTTATAGACTATTTTGTAACAAAAAATAAATAAAACATAGCAAAGTATTCAACTGCATTTGACTAAAAATGATAAATTGCAATGAAGAATTTAAGAACTTAACAAAGGAAATCTTTTCAAATATCATTCATGCTCACATTGTACAATGGAAGACTTCTGTTTCTTAACATCACACAACCATCACGCTTATTTCAGATAGCTTTTTTTGCCATTTCTTATTATGGTAAAAAAAAAATTAAAACTTTTACTTTTTATTTTTCTTCATCATTACTCCTTGTTTATTTTACCCCCACACACATATTGGGTAAAATAAACGTAAATTAAACATTTATAAATTAATAATTTGTATAAATTACAAAAACACAGAGGATAACATAGTGTAATGTTGCTTAAAAAATAAAAATTTAAAACATTTTTTAACATGATTACGAATTGCGTAAAACATCTTACTTTTCAAAAAATTTAACGCACTACATATTATTTTATTAGAAAGTATGAGTTCTAATTTTAAATTAACAATTCGCGATCGCAACGAACTATAAAAATGTCACATTTATTAAATCGTCTGCTTACAAATATAATTTTTTCTTGGTTTAGAGTATTCTTTTTTTAAGAAGAGAGTACTTGTTTTATTAATTGTTAATTAAAATTTTCTTTTATTTCCTTTATCCGTGAATTACGCTGCATTTGAAAGTTAACTTTAACAAACGTTCTTTGAAAAATATTCAAGATTTATCAGCAAAGGATGCTGAATATCATTGTTTCAAAAATAAAACGTATCGATAAAAAAAAGTATATCAGACGAGAAAAACAAGAAAAAGTATACCAAAAGTTTAATTTTCAATTGATTTGAAGAAATAGAAAAATTTAACATTCAGTCATAAGATCTACAGATCGATCCTGCTATAGAATGTTAAAATTGATGATCAGAAATTTAATTTTAAAAGCTTACCAAGTTGTTTGTGATCACTTTATATGTAAAACTAGATACTTGTTTTTTAAAAAAGTTGACTGATGTATAAAAATATGATTGTGAACAATATTGAAAGGGTTTAGGAATGATTAAAAAATTCTTTCTTGCATGTTTTGGATGTAGTGTAACAGCATGAAGCTTCGCTATTTCTTTGCACTAAGCACTCAAAAATATTTTACTTTTATTCTAGTAATATCTTCAGATAAAACAGACTGCTAATAAAAAAAAATAATTTATAAAAATAATTAATAAATTTAGCTGAGCAAACAACAATATTTATAACTTTCAAATACGTTTTTGTGCGAAATTAAAAGCTATTTAGTTCAGTTAAATGGTTTATTAAACTCAATTTTGCTGAAGCAAACTGCATGCACCTGATGTTTCTTTTATTTGTTTTATGGTTTCAATTATAATTATTTCTTAAATGTTCATTAAAAAATATACCTCAGATCAAACAACCTTGTTTTCATTAATAAAACAGCTGTTCCTAAATCACGGATTGTGTAAAAAACTTAGGATTAGTACACCAATACAAAATTATCTAGTCTAAAAAACGAACTTAAATATTTTTTTTATTTAATCTCATCGTGCCTTAGATTATGAAGTCTAAATATGGTGGTTACCTCCGCGAGCAAGTACGCCAATTAAAACATTTTTTTGGTTGTTGTCTTTACCACAGTTTTTAAATTAGACCACAAGACTTATAGGAAAGTGTGGTAAACTCCCCAGCAAAACAATACTAAATTCTAAATTTTTTAATTATAATTTTTCATGATTTTTTTTCCTAGTTAATGAGCTTACATTGTAGTCGTTTACGTCAATAAGTTAAATATGTCAATATGTTAATTACATCGATATGCAAAATAATTACGTCAACTGCATTTTATGTATGTTTTTTTTATATGTTATATTTTATAAAAAAGTTTCCTTCTAATTATAGGAAGAAAAATGGTTGGAATTGAAAGAATTTATTACCTAATATCCATAATAATAAGTAAAAGAAAGTATTTTTTTTTTCAACAATTCAAGTGATATATAAAAACACTCGTTTTATTAACGATTCAAACGATAAATAAACGCAGACATCTATGCAATTATTTTAAGACCTATCGGAAACAGAATAATTAAATTACACTTTGTGACATGCAAGAAAAGTATTAATCATTCATTTGAGAGAAAAAAAGTCATTATTTCAGAAAATTTTTAGGTATGTTTTTTTTATAAAAAAAACTTCCTCTCTGATAAGGAAAAGTTAAAGTGGTGTATAGTTGTTTTTCCCCCTTCTTTTATTAGCTCACAAGGTATCCCATATAGATGCAATGCTTATAAAAGCGCAACAGAGCTACTAAACAGCTTGATTAAACTGTCATTGTTAGACAGGGTATAAAAGTACTGAAAATAAAGAAAATACAAAATATATAAAATGAAATATAAGAAAATAAAATATAAGATGATGAAAATCGATTAAACACTATTTCTCTGAGGGAATCAAACACGAATAGTTTAAAAACAAAATAAAATTAATAATAGAAAAACCAAATTTCATCCACATATTATTACAGCAAAATTGCTTTAGTTTTAAGCATTTTTTTTGACCAGTACAGTAAGCTACAGCATCAAAAGAGCCTGTCCTATAAATAACAACGATGGTAATACTAGGACCTTCTTTCTCACTTTCATTTAGTAATTTTTCTTGCCTTTTTAAGCGGTAATTCAAAGAACTTTTTTCTTAAAGATTCAAGCAGTAGTTTTTATCAGTTCATGCAAACTTTAATAATTACGAAAATGTGATTGAATAAAAAATAAAAAAAATCACAAACTTAAAATCTGCCAAAAAAAAACGATAGTTTTGTGTTTATTTTGAAATTTTTTACTGAAAAAAAAATGTATATATTTAGTCGTTCTTTGGAATGCTGCATGAGAGAAATAATCGCGACTTATTTTAATCAGTAATTCCTTTTCATAACTTAAAACCGAACCAAATCTTTACAGGCCACCATGCTTCGCAAAATTAAAATGAAACGAAGAAACACTGAACCAGTCTTGGGTCCGGGAAGCAGCGATAAACCCGCCGATGAGTGAGGAGAGATCTTCTTCAAGCTCTTGATGAAAACTAAGCTAGACCACCCTTTTCAGACAGGGGACATCTCAACCCTATGTTATATGCAACATCAATGCTAAAGTAAAAGAAAAGCGCTGACCTAAAATCTCTAGCCGGTGTCGACTAGAGTCAGTCGATATATATATACTCTTATTTGAGTAAATATTCTTTCAATTACTTTCATTTTCTTGTAAGTCTTTGGGAGATGTGAGTAGAAGGTTATATGCACTTCAGTTGTTGAGTAACACATGAATATGCTTATTTAAAAATGACTTTTTGTACAAAGTTATGTCACATTACTCTTATTCTAGTCAAACTTCATCCATTACAATTTTCACTTCTGTATTTGTGGCACATTACTTTTTAGCGCTCTATTTTACCAATGAAATGTTCATATTTCTGTGATCAGTACTTTTACTGCAATAAGATTCTTGTACTTTCACATTGTAATATATTTCCTTTATATATTTTGTTCATACATATTCAGTACAAAATATGGGTCGTATTTTAGAGAGAGTACAATAAATTATTCTAACAATGATAAATGTATTTGAATAATAATGGGGAGGATTTCCGTATCGTTACCTGTGCCAAAACGGTCGCCAAGTTTTGGCGGTATGACAGAAACACATGAGAAAAGGACATTTCGAAGGTAGATGTTCCGAATAAGCTGCTTTGCATCCTTTTTTAAAAATTTATTACAAGTATATGTGAACGTCAGTTGCACTTTGGCTAGAACAGGTACCGATATGCGAATATCCCCTTAAAAATAATGTATTTGTATACATTTTAAACTAAAAGTTGAAATTTTGTGTAACTCCTTTGGAGAATAATTAGTATCCAGTTTGGATCAGCTCTTTTCTCGGCTTTTAAAAGTCAAAAATAATTATAGAAATAAAAAGGAATCCATCTATGTAAAGTACATTGAAATAATAGGTGTCAAACATAATTATCTGAAAATCTCTTCAAGATTCATATTGTTAATAACTCTAGCTTTAATTGCAAATGAGAACTCGAAAACTTTTAATCTTAAGTAAAAATTATTTCTGTAATACTTTGTTAAAAAAATTCTCATATCAGGTTTTCGGAAATTTTTTTGACAACTTTCATTAGAAGTTTTACACTTCGGAAGAACATATTGTTCTTCCAATACATAGGAAGAACACGCGCCTATTTAAAAATGTGCGTTGCATAAACATGCGAGTGTAAATTCTTATATGCGCTTAATTGTGCAATTTGGCACACACGGAGGTACATTTAAGATAGTAAATAAAATAATGATGACTTAAAATCAGTTGCCTCTTTAGTTGTTTATGAAACTTAAATATATGTTTTTTTCGCAAGGCTACTATGTTAAAGAAGAGCAAAGGAAAAATGAAGAGACGAAATACAGAGCCCAGTATGGTGGTATCTCCAATGGAAATAAATCAAGATGTGCCAAGTAGCTCAGGACCATTTTAAGAATATATAATATATATTAAACGCCGAAGTAGTAAATCTTACACAAAACACACAAAAAGTTTTTGTGCGTTAGGCCAGAAATGAGTAATTCAATGGCTACTTGTTGAAAGGTTATAAATAATTTCATGCTTATATGAAGTTCAACTAACTGTATTGAAATATATTTCAAGATAAAAAAACGAAATAGATACAGTTTTAAATTGTCATCGAAAGTGAATTAAAACGCCTAGATATTTTCTACGATCTTTATTACATGAAATATCAGGAATGATTTCGATTATTTGCACCATATCATGGCAGGAGGAAAACATTGATAAGTGATATGAACCACCTTATTTATATTGTATGTGCATCAAAATACTTGTAATAACTATTGATAAAATCTTTAAAAGAAAAAAAAAGGTGTTTAAAAGATAATCGCCTGACATTCATATTTCGAAAAAGTGTTATCAATTTTTTACAGCTATAACTAGCTGTTATTCTTGAATCAAGCAATTATCTTTCAAACAACCAGAAAAACTATAGTTTGTTTGAGCTTGTTATTGTTACGCTAACTATGAAATAGTTTATGAAATTGAACTAATATACGGAACAAATAATGCATTTTTAAAGATGTAAGTTTGTTTCTGTATGTTTGACAACATTGACATTCTTATTCAAAAATTTAAAAAGTATTTATGTCTGTTATATGATAAATATGCAGTTTAAAATATTTTTGAGGGGTGTATATTATTACTCGATTTTTTTTAAGTTCAAACTAAATGCACCTTACATGAATATTGAATGAAAGTAATTGTTGAAATGGTGGTTGGTGTGGAGTTTTTTTCATCTTATAAAATATTGATAAGAAAAGAATATATTTAACGTGTTCAAAGAATTTTTTTTGTCTTAAAATTATGTAACTGAGTTACTTAAATTTGTATATATTTACAAACTTAGCACATTAACTAATGCACAGTTTCTAAAGGGCACATTTAATACTAAGAAATTATATTCAAATCAAAATATTTTTGTGAACAATCTCATGTTGAAAATGGAGATAATATTCAGAGCCAGATAACAAAAAGCACAAGAAGAAAAATTACTAAGTAGAAGTTCAAACTGCACATTTTGCACATATTCTGAAAACATAATATATGGCATGATTAAAAATATTGAATAATAAAAATTATTAAGAATTAACTAATTTAAACAACCTACAGATTTGGTATAAATTTTTAAATTTTTTTTTGTAAGCTATTTCATTGACATGAATCATTTTCAATATTGAAAAATAAATACTGAAAGAGCATTAAAATAGAATTAAAAACGTTCAGATAACTATTTATCTTTATAATCGCATTTAAGTTTTAAATAGCATTTAAACTTAAAAAAAAAAAGTGAATAAAAAGAAAAATTCCAAAAAAAAATCAAGCTTTGTCGAAAAACAGATTAATTTTATGAAAAAAAATTAAAAGTTTCATTCGAAAAAAAATATGTTAAAGAAATACTTTTTATCAATAAAATAATTTTTTAATTTAGAAATAGGCGTTGACTTAAAATTTTGTCAAACAATTTTAAAACTAAAGTATCTTAAATATTATACGTTATCGAAATATTTTTATCAACAAAAAAATAAGAGTTGACTTTAAACTTCGCAAGCATTTAAAAACTACAGTGACTAAAATATTATTTTTATTTAAATTTTAAGTTAAAACACGAATAAAGACAAAAATAATAAATTTGATAAATTTAAGAAGAAAAAGTGGGAAACTTTATAACTTAATACAAGTAAAGAAGACAGTAAGTTAAACAGTTTCCATGTTTTCTTTTCTAAGTTCCTACGCATTGAAATGATTTGTAACACATTTTTCTTCTTAAATTTTCAATTTATTATGCTAAGTTATGTTGTTACTATAGATGAAGATAGCTAATATTTGGTTAATATTCTTAAAATCTATAAAACTCAGTTTTTAAATAAATGACTAATTTTAAAACATAATTTAAATATCACATAAGCATTTTGGTGCCATTAAAAATTTGAAATAGCAAACAAATGATTAGCTATGAGAAGCTATTGGCTATGAGTAGTACAGTCTTCATCCTAATTCAAAACTAATATTTTATTTTCATTATTGTTTTAACAAATAACATAAGCTTTGAATTTTCAAAAGCTGGTACTGAATACAGAGTTGAGTAAAAATAACATTCAGCTTGTATTGAAGAATAAGTTTCTAAAAGTAATCCGAATTTCTTTTAAATTTACTCATTTGTTTTTTAAAATTGATGTGAAACTCTGCGATTTCACCAATAAAATTTTTTTTGATGTTTATTTACAGTAAGTTTAATTTAACCCTTTTACCCTTCACGTTGTTTTAAAAGCAACATTACTTTAGGGTTTATTTTTAAATTATCTTTTTCGATTTTTAAATTTTATTTACATATTTTTTTGAATTATCGCGACAAAGTTGCTTTGACAAATACTACTTTAATTTTTTAATGTGATTTTTACAAGCATTTTTTAATTAAATTAATGTTTGTGAGAAAATTATGTTAAATATAGGGTAATGATATGTAGAAGCTGGTCATTGTTTTTTTTTAAATATCTTTTTATCTGTAGTTTAGTTTTTTTAATTTCTAAGAAAATTAAATAATTATTAATTATATTTGAAAACAATGGAAATAAGTAAAAATATTTTCTGTTATTTTTATACCTAAAAAAATGTTAAAAAACAAACTTTTTTTATTGAAAATATTTAGGTGTAAAAGGGTTAATTTTTCACCAGTACAGTCACAGTTAAAATATTTTCGATAACTTTCAATGTATTCTTTAAACATAGTAATCTCAAATCATTATAAAAAATTGAAGAAGAAAGGAATAAAATTTTGATGAGAAAAATAAATATATTTTCGTATTTATTGATGAAGCAATAATTAAAATAAATTGTGACGACTAAAATATAAGCAGATTTACATCAAATTAATCTTGTATAACATCAGTATTGCTGGAGATACATAAGTGTGTCCACATAGAGCCAGTTATGTGGGGACTGTTTAGAAAATATTGAAAGCCCAATTGTTAATGTTAAAAACGTTTTCATGACGAGTTCATCCATGTTTTAGTCCTTGATAAATGTCATCACTACAGCTAACTAGAACTAATCTTCTCTCTTAACCTACGAACTGAGCTACAAATAACATTTAACAAAGTTTAACAAGTACTATGTGAGTTATAGGATATTTGCCTCAGTTTAATAAATTGTGTTACTACTTTAAAAAGTATTGATAACATTCTATACAAAGATGGTATGATATGAGCATATTTGCAAATGCCGGCATGATAATGATTGCAAACGGATGCCCCGTTTGAAACACTACATATTTTAATACAAAGAATATTGATTCATCAGTTATGTATTTTCAATCAATTTCTTCAATGTTTAAAACGTTTTTATACAGAAATTGCATGCTTCTTTATGAAAGGTAACCACAGAAATAGTTTTGATTTCATGAGTCTTTTCCTACAATTAAAATTATTTTTAGGCGAACACAATATATAAAAATCTGTATTAACAAGGTTTAAGTGAATTCGAACGACTTTTTCTTCAGATATTCTATTTTGTTTCTTTTTACAAATAAAAGTATTTTTTGGAGAACAGATAAATGAAATTCTGAGTAGACAATGTTAAGTGAATTCGGTCGAGTTTTTCTTTTAAACATTCGATTTCTTTTCTTTTGGTCAACAAATAAAATAATTATTCTCAGAACAGAATATATAAACATCTGAATCGACAGAGTTCTCTTTAAACATTCTATTTGTTTTCCTTTGGCCAATAAATAAAATAATTTTTCTGAGAACTGAATATCTAAATCGACAACGTTAAGTGAATTTGGGCGAGTTTTTCATTAAACATTCCATTCGTTTTTTATTTTTGCTATTAAATTATGTTTCTTTAAAAAGAATATATAAAAATCTGATTCGACAAAGTTAACTGAATTCGGAGGAGTTTTTCTTCCAACATTCTACTTCTTTTCTTTTTGGCATTAAAATTATCTTTTGTAGAACAGAATATATGAAATTCTTCATCGGAAAGTTTAAGTTAATTTGGAGGTTCATTTTTCTAACGTCCATTTTTTACCGCAGTGTCAATTGATTAATTGGTGAAATGATATTATTCTCATTGATCAAATGTGGAAGTTTTTCTTGGATTTCAACATTAAATTCAATTTCAACATCAAGAGCTCGAAGTACTTCTCCGTACTTATTTGCTGATCATATTTATCCACAATTTCACCAACACTCATAACAAACTTTTATTTATTTATCGTAATTCAGTTGAAGTATGAACTTACGCAATCACCTCATGCAATATTTTTAAATTCCCTGTAATTTTTATTTAAATTTAAAGCAGAAAAATGCTGTTCATTCTGCTTTTCGATTTTTAAGTGTCGATTCTTTCACAAGTGTCGATTTTTATGTCTTTTTTTGTTATAACTAATTTAAATTTTCATTTGTTCGATTTTGTCTTTTTATTAAAAATGTTTTTTGATTTGTTCAACAATTTTAAAATTTATTTCAGAAAAATTACTGAATTATTATAGCAAAATAATCAAACCACTCAAAACACAAATTAAAACTCGATATTAGAATAACAGTTCACATCTCATAGCTCCTTTTCCATGTGTTTAGTAAATAAATAAATAAATTGATCACGTGACATGATAGATATCCACAAAACGTCGCAGCTGAAGAATTTTCTCACGTTTTTCAAAAAATTCTTTCTTTGCAGCGTAATTCTAACTGTTCAAATAACTGAAAGTTTTTTTTTTAATCATTTAATTCGAGAATTAGCCCAGCGCAAACAAAATCTCTATAACTTTGCTACAGAGATTTTCTATAGAATAGGTAATACGATATCTTTTGAGATATTTTGTTTACTTAAAACTTTGGACAGATACCGTAGCCTTGTTAACTAAGAGCTGGCTCTTGACTAATAAAAGTAATGGCTGGTGTTGGTCCAAAAAATATTCCATATTTTAAATAAGCGGAATAATTGACTTTTTAAAGCTAAACGTAATAATAGAAATTATTTATGGAGATAAAGAAAAAACTAGTTAAAAAAAATGAAATAATTCGAAACGCTTTCCGCAAACATATATAAGACTATAGAGATGCTATAAAATTTGGCAATTTCCAGTTCTATTCTCTAATTTTTTTAAAGTAACCAATAATTTTTGCTTCATTGTTTTATGTTTCGAACTTCATGTTTACAAACTCATAAATTAAAAAAAAATTGTTATGACTATAATATACAAGTATTGCAATAGATATAATATAAAAATGTATCTGATAAGAATTAAAATCTTAAGTTCTTATGGTTGGCTTCGTTTTATCTATCCAATAAAAAGTATTAAACAAAAAATGGAAATTCTATCTATAAAAACTTGAATCATCAGAATACCTTTGTATTTATTTTAAAATAAATTATAAAATGTTAGACTAACAAAATTTTAGCCACCGTGTGAATTTATTGGAATCATCGTGCAAAAAGATACAACAGTTTAAAAACAGAATTTTTTTATTCGCGCTGCTTTATCTAGTTTAAAACAAAGAACTAATTTAAGAAAGAAAATAAAAGTTGCACTTTAAAATAATAGTAAAGGCATATTCCAGAACTAATTATAATAAAAATTCAGTAGATACTTATGAAGAATGAAAGATAATGAACCAAAGAAAATTAAAATGCAAAACCTGTATTTAATCCGAATAAAAAATGATTTTTATACTTTAAATTCAAAATAATAAGTTTTAAATGAGCTACAATTCATTAAAAAAAACTATTTTACTTTTTTAATGTTTTTCGAAGAATCATTTTTTTAAAAAACAGACATGCATTTTTGAAATCACAATACAAACTTTAAGAAAAGCGCATATTATCAATAGCTATAGCATGAATAAAATAATACTAGTTTCGATGAAACTTTTAATTGTATGAACATTTCGTTAAAATTTCAATGGTGTATTTATACTGTAAAAATATAGCATTTAGCTCTTGCAACTAATCGAATGAA